ACGTTGCCTCTTGAGACCCCTGTAATGGCTCGCGGAAAGCCTGAAACGCGCCAACAAGAACCTCATGGGCATGGTGCGTAGGGTTGCCCCCCCTATGCTTTAGGGCACTTTGGCCAATGGCGTGTCGTTGCTCCTTGTTTATCAACGCCGATCCGCCATCCAGGGTGTCGACGGTCAGGTCCAAGTCCCGAATGTTCAGCGGAAACCTCGGCATCTTCAGTGGAAGAGTCGTCCAGTCCAAAACACCCTTGACGAGGAATGACCTTGCTCAGCAGCTGGGAGTCGCATCTGCAAAATAGGGGAACTACAAAGCTTCAACCATCTACTGTCGTTCTCGTTCGGCTGCACGGTTTGAATGGGATACTGTTGGCACCAAACGGCTTAGCTGAGCGTTTCAGGGCTTTGTCGCTTCATCGCATCTTCGGGATCTATGAGGCAAACACTGAATAAATCTCTTCTTCATAGAGCCATATAAAGTATCACAACTGGTGTTAGGTGCCTTTCTAACAAGAACCCTCAAGCAATCGTCAAACCCTGAACCTGGGTCACAGGACCCATCAGGAAGCGCAAGTGCATGTTGACAAGTAATAAGTACACAATTCAGATCAGCACTAAGGCTCCTGCCAAGGAACCTGGCGGGCAAACAAAGGTGACACGTGATTTCATCCCTGGTGCTTTCGGTAGAGGAGCAGAGCCGCTCATCGTTTGAAATTGGAGATTGAGGTTCCAACTTTACCGCCCCACAGCCGCAACTCCAGACTAGACCAGAGTACAAGAGCCCCTTGGCTTGTGACTGGCTAAGGCTAACACTCAACAAGCCTATGGGATGCGGACCTCGGGTTTTAAGGATCTGGCCCTTTTAATCTGGGAGGCTTGCTGGCCTCTCGTGGAGCCATGGCCTCCACGCTGTAGACGCCGGAGAGCACTTTGATCTCCTTCGCCAGGCCACTCTGCAAACTTGCGGGGGCCGGGTCTTAAGTGGGGGACCTACACCACTAAACGATACCTCGACGAGCCGAAACTTATAAGCCAAATCAAACGGCTCCCACACCACGCACACCAGAAACGCATATCGGCTGTCCCTCATCTCCTCAACCCTTCGTGCTAACGTGAAAAGGCGCTTCCGCCTTAGGGCCTCCGGTCTGCCACGCCCTAGGACTTCCAAAGCAAAGCGATAGTACATCTTCTCCCAATGGATGCATTGAGGGTAACGGCAGTGTCCCCACACTTCTGAAGGGTGAGGATCCTAAAACCCTTCTTGCATCTGGACTTTGCACGCCAGGACCATCCGGGTCAAGCTTAGGATCCCTGTTTGGAACCCTCAAACCCTAAGGGGCAGCTCTTCAAGGTCCCTTGGTGCATCACACATCTCCTTCATGAGGTGCTGAATCTTTGGCTCCTCCCACGGCGTGTGCAAGGCGGAGTGTAAGGCTCTCTTTCAACTTCCGGAGATGAGCTTAAGGGACATGAAGGAGCCGTTTACAAACGATGCGTTTGGGGTGAAGATCGTATCGGGGGGGGGGGGGGGGTGTGTCTTCTTCCCCGCATCGGTATCCTCTTGTCACGGGTGCACAGAAGGGGTCCCACTCATGGCGGGAGAGTCCTCAATCTTGCCCTGGAAGTCAATGTGGAACGACGGCCCGTCGCGCGTGAAGGACTTGAGCCGCGACTCGATGTGAGTCATGTTGATCTCCTTAAATGCCGCTTGCCCAGCTGGTGGTGATCGGCTGACTCTCTAGTGACTCTAGTGGATTGAATTCGGGTCCCCTTGCATGGGCAGTATGATGACGGAGCCGACAAAGAAGCTGTCATTTACAGCTGTGGCCACTGTGGCCAGGTAAGAAAAAACGATAGGTCTTCAGGGTTTCTGCATGTTTCGCCCCTTGGTCTTAACTCCAGCGAGTCCTCGGGCGTTGTGGGGTCGGATTCTCAGCTTCTGATTTGTTTTTCTCCGGAAGACGGAGTCCCTCTGGGCACGCAGAGCAGGGAGACCAGGTCTCATGTCGTGTCAGCATAAGAGGCCTAGCAAGCCCGTCACAGGTGATTTTGGAGGAGTGCTTGCATTCGGTTCCCTCAGCTCCTGTGGTTTTCTGCGGGACGAGACATACGAGACGACATGGGCAGGGCAGGAGAGACACGGATGAAGGCCCAGGAGATGCCGCGAGTACGGAATTAGGCAGGAGAGACGACCCTTGCAAACTCTGAACGTTGGGGTCCGCCTTGATACCCCCATTTCAAATGTCCAAGAATCCAATTGTAATTCAGGACCCCCCCCCCTCCGCAACAAGGGATTCTTCAGACTTGGGGAAAACCCCACAGGCCCATATGAGCCCCAACTCTGAGGCCTCAAGTTCCTTTAAGTTCCTTTGAGGATGCAGATGCGCAAGCCCCGTTCCGAGCGTCGCAGCTGGCGAAAAGCCTTGGTTGGTACAGGCATTGCCGGCGCTGGGCCGCGCACACGCTATGCAATTTCTTCTCGACCTTCAGACATCCCCGGTGCACTGCAGAAGCAGGTTTGGGGTTACACCGTTCTATCCAAAGTTCCCGATGTCAGGTTCAGGTTCATTTCCGACCTCTGGGGCTCCCCAGACAAAAGGGAGTCCGTTTAGTTCAACTTCACCCCGGAGATCAAGCCCTCTTCCGCCAAAAACACAAGGGAGGGGGGAGGGGGGGAAGGAGTGCGTTGCATGTACTTCCTCAGCCGTACATACCTTCAAGCCGAAATCCTAAAATCAACCTTAGGGCCTTAGGGTTGGAGTTCAGCACACGGAGGCTGGGTAGGTTTTCAGTTTCACTCCACAGAGCTTCTGTAAACCATCAACCGCGGCGCAGTGAATTCGGGTCTATTTGAACCAATTTTTCAGGAGGTAGGTGGCTGCATGATCTCTCCCAGCACGCCGGGCTTGTCATGCTTGGCCTCCACAACGATGAAGGACAGCGGGTCAAACTCTTGCAAATCCTGATTCCGATTCGCATGGCCAGCGACATGAGCTATAAATCCCGCCGAGAATTGCAAGAGATTTTGCTCTTCAGAAACCAGCTGTACAGTACACTTCCACATATCAGAGCCAAACACGACACTTCGTTGTGTGGGAGTTGAATATCCCGGATCATCCTTGAACAATCCCTGTATCATGAAACAAAAATAGAATCCCCTGAGTAATAACTACCTCTATAATCTATAAGTCTATCATAGAAAGGCCCCAATAAATGCACTAAATTCATGCCGTTCCTTCTAATTTAGTGCTTTTATTCGGACTTTTGGCTTTCTCGCTTGAGGTTCTTTGGGGCGTTCACATTCTCCTCTTTGGCCCTATTATTATATTACGGGCGTACATTAAATAAGATCGCGCATTTACAGTCCGTATTATAATAATGGGGAAAAGACCCTAGACTTGGAGATGAAGACAGAAGACTCATGCATCTAGTTCCAGCTCCAGCGGTAAGACTCATGAAAAGACCAGGCGTTAACAGGGTCTCAAGGTGTGATGGGTGCTGCGGTTGGACAATTTCCTAGTTCATGAGAAAAGCCTTTATATGAGACAGGAGTTTACCAGTAGACCTCAAGGGAGTGAAGGTAATGATAGAAAGAGAGCAATAAAGGCCCTATTAATAATGTAAGCATTTACGGGCCGTTATTCTATTACTATTAGCCCTTACATTTTCTCCAATCATTAGTTCGTTCTTGCAATTACATTTCTTGCAAAGATATTTATAGCGGCCTCTATAATAATAATACAATTAAAGGCCCCCTTAATACTACTATAATTCTTTTATGTGTAAATAAATAAACAAATCCAAATCAACAAATCAAAATATATATATATATATATATATATATCTACTGCACATGGATATTCCCTGAAATAAGAACCCCCAAATATAGGTTTGCACCTAAGGTCGGCAAACAGATGTGGGACTCTGCGCCCCAGTCTTTCAGAGGCGTTTTGTGGGTCTTCGGGGCCCTTGAAGGGGGTACGGGCTTGGGATGCAACCTTGAGCCATGATGAGCCATGGCCCCTAAATCTCCTAAAGCTCCAAAGTTCGAAGCGGAACTTGGGGAACCGTCCGCACCCCCCCGCCCCCCTTGTGCCCAAGGTGCTGCTCGGCTGCTGAGCGGCCTGGCATCGCCCAAGCGCCGCGCGCGGACTCTCCGCACTTCTCGCCAGGTTATAATCACTCTCACTCTGGTCCAGGTTTCTGAAAGAGCCACTAAACAAACGTGGAACAGCTGAAGCACTAAGCAACTGTGCAAGGACCAGGGCGTGTCCATAGCTCTTCTTCGGAATTACCAGTGCTGCCACGTCACCGAATCCTGTGGCGGAGCACACCGGATGCCTGCCATGGCAGCCTCGACCCCGGCTCCGAAGACACAACTTGATACCGGTTACTCTCCAGGAGCGTGGTTGCAAACTGGACTCTTGGGCAACAAGATGCAACAAGTCGAAGGCTTCGGCTGGGGTCATGGCAGCCGTGAGCCGTGGGAGGCAAGTCGGCGAAACGTTGCCATTGCCAACGCCATAAAATTGAGTTCAGGGTTTTGGGGGCTTGGAGGTTCAGGGATGTTTCGGAAACATTGGGGTTTTGGGCTGGGTTGCGGGCGAGGAAAGTGTACAGTAGCGCGACATGCCTCCCGCGTGATGCAGTTCAAGGCCCATGTCTAGAATTAACCTGCTTTGCCTTGGAGCAGAAATGCTTGAAGGGACAATCTAAAGAATGTCCATGGTGTCCTCTAAGGCTTGATCCCGTGCGGCCTCATCGTATCAAGACTCGTTGATTCTCGTCTTAAGGGGTCTGTTGGCGCGCGACTATGCTTTTTCACTTAGTAAGGGGGAGGGGTGCATGGGCGGGATCAAGAAAATCAATTGGATTCGGGGTGCTGTCAGCTCTTCGGGGCCTTGTGTGCGACTCTTGTGTGGAAGGAGAATCAAGTCGAATCAACGCAGAACTCAACCACCCTCCTTCCTGAAGCACCCGAAAGCCCGGCTTGAGGCAAAGGCGATGGCACCAAGCTGACATGGCCGTGTGCGAGCGCCAACGCCAGCGGTGTCAGGCCGGTCTCAGGATGTGCCTAAGATCTCAATTCAAAAGATTAAGCGCCTTAAATCGTATCCCCGCATTAAGGCCCCACAAACACGCGACTCCGAAGCTGACGGAAGCGCATGGCGCCCGTAATTGCATGGTACTGACGATGTGCCCAATGCGTGTGGGCACTGGCCGTACAGTAATGGGCCCGCCCCTTCGACCCGACAGCCCCAGAAGCCCTCAAGCAAGCCGAAAAGAGAACCATAGATTGAGCAAACGGCCTGGCCTCATTCAAAGCTGAGATTGGGAGTTGCGGTGGCCTCGGACTGCATTCTGGAGGATGTCGAAGCCGGGTACAGTGCACAGCGCAGGAAATCTTGCGGATGTCTCATGATTCAAGTGCTTGGCATGTGGCCCATGGTTAGGCTTATCAGCAGTGGGAAATGAGAATTACAACCTACCAAATTTGCAGGGAATCTCTGGGTTCGAGCTTAGGATTCCGGCGGCGCCGTGTTCAGAATGCTGCGCATCTTCTTGGCTTTCAACAGCCTGGTGCAAGCGCCCCGAAATTTGTTTGAGACAGAGCTGGCTTGGATGTTGTGTGGCTACATGCCAGCCACCCGAATGTAGCGGGAATTTCACAATGGCCAAATCACATGGCTTGTAATCAGGCGTATAGTCTTGTTAACACTGCAGCTGAGAGGCATCACCAAGTGGCCCACGGCCTGAGCTTCGTCAGGAGACACCTGTGACCTGCAGCGATAAATCTCATCTGGAGAACAGGTGTAAGGCCCGAAGGCGTATTCCCGGCAGCATTTTCGCGATCGTGCTCAAGGCTCAAGAAATAAGAAATGCGGGCAGACATGGTTGATCATAGCAGTTCCGGACAGTTCCCAGCATTGTCCCGTGCAATGCGGGGAAACCATTCGCCCGAGGTTTCATAGCATTAATTTGTCATGGCTGCTGTTTGGCATGCAGCCTCGTGTAGAGCGCTCTGACACCTCGAAAGTATCCAGCACTCATCAGACTTCGGGGACGGAAAGCAGGAAAACACAGTCAGGTCGGCCTGCTGAATGATGTCCCTCTCTGCAAAAGGCCGACCGAGCTGCAACCGCAGAGGCAGGATCCACTTCAGGGATTAGGGCATAGGGTGCAGTGCCTTGACCTCGGCAGTTGTTTTGGGTTTGGTAGGATGCGAAGCCTTACTGGGGGTGGGGGGTTTATTTCTGCACAAATCCTGGGGTTGAGGCTTCAGGTTACTGAGCGCGCTGCCCCTTTCCAGCCTTGATCTTTTGCACCTGAGCTGGTGTGTTCCTGACTTCCTCTTGGCCTCTTGGCTGCAAAGTGTAAGGTTTTATCGCCGCTGCCATGAGGCATGAGATCTAAGACCACGAGCTCTATAAAGCCTCTGATGATGCCAGACTGGAAGCATGGAACTTTTCCACATCTCACACTACGGCCCTCTTAGATTCCTTGAGGACTTAGCTAGATTGCTGCATTGCGCATCCCGCTTCCTGCTTGCTGCCCGGTCACCCCCACTGAGAGTGTGGGCTTCTTCACGCTCTTCCTTGTTGCCTTCCTGAGTGGCTCTCCGCGGGTCAGTCTCAGTCAGCTAAGTACACCAACGGGATTCGGATGCATTCGGGCCTCTGGGTAAAAGGAGGCTTGCGAAGTCTCAAACAGACAATTGCCCGTGAGCCGGGCACTTCCTGGCTTCTCAAAGATGGGTGACGAGCTTTCGTAAGATCGGCCAGGAGAACAAGGAGAATAACTTTTCATCGCCATCTTCAGTCGTTCCAGCTTCCAGGGGCCGTCGCCGTCGCAGTTGGAACTTTGATATGTGGGCGTGCGCATCCTGAGGGGCGCCTGTGAGGCGAACTCTAATCAGGCAGCTGCCTACGCTCTGCAATATGCAATCTTGTCACTGACTGGCCCGTTTGCTTAACTATGCCTGTGGGGCTCCATAGTAGGGATTGTGGGTTGATAAGTTATGTGCCTGTACGAAAGAGTCCAAGGAGCCCCTGGAAACGCATGCAGCCATGGTGACGGCATCTCTCCGGGTCACACCTCTTCCCCCCAAATGCGCAGCCACACGATTTGAAGCTTCGGGCTTCGGACACTCTGCTCTTTTGGCTTGCTCTGCCAAAAGAGCCGCTGTTATTCGGCAATTGCCGAACTGGGCATAGGACAGGAGGCAAGGACAGATGTCACACTTTCGTCACCTATTCAGCGACGGATTTTAAAACCGAAGGGAGCGAAAGAATATCCAGGGCCCCACCCATCAACGTGTGCAGGCTGCCACCCAAAGTAGCCGTGTAGACCCCAGGTCCCATTTTCAGCGCACGATTGGCCCAATGGGCTTGATACAAATAATTGATGGCTTCCTCGGGGCCTACATGGCATTGAAAGACCCCCTACAAAAGGAACCAAGCGAACTAAGTCCTCTCTCTCACACCACCGGACTCCATCCTCAACCTCCTAAACTACTAAACCCCAAGGCAGAACTCCCCAGCGCTGGTCTCAGGATCACTGCTGCAGCTTTCATCATTGCAGGCCTTCAGCGGTCTGTGGAAAGGGTGCGCAGTTCTCTCAACAAGCAGAAGTAACAACCCCAAAGAAAGCTTTGGTCGAATAGCTGCTTGCCAAAAGCTTTCTTCAAGCACTGCTGAGGAGCTGGGTTGGCCACCACGTACTCCACCTGCATAGCCTCATCGGGATGTAGGGATTTATTTTATAGACGTGCAGATGTTCTGATATTTCGGGCTTTTATAGGGCCGGGGGTGCTAAGCCCTTAATCCGACAATGTCTGTGCTATGTTCTTCATGGCTCCCATAGCCAACAGGCATGGAGCCCTGAACACCGAAACAGTTTCGAAACCCAAACCCTTCTGCAAGGCCTCCTGCATCGCTGCACAGAAACAGCAGAAGAGCCAAGCGAGGCAATCACCTCAGCGATTGAGTCTCAGAAAATATCGTACAAAGCGAAGAAATACACATGGGTCCAGTAAGTCAGACCCGTAAACTCAATCTCGGCCTTAATCAGCCCTAAAACTTAACCATGTCTGATGAAGTCCCCTGTCAGAGTCACACATGCAGGTGCAGAATGTCCTGTGTTCCATGTCATACATCCGGCGCACATGCTGCCGCAGAAGTATTTGCATCACCAAGAGGACAGAGCCACTGAGAAGGCCGACCTCGTCTCCAAGACAGCTCCAAGCCAAAAACACATTTAGACAACCATGGATTGGCCGTCAAAGCCTCCTCCTCGACCCCCTTCTTCACTACTGAGGGAAGTTGAGGTCTCTGGCGCCGCAGGGCAGTAAGGTTTAGAAGCCGAGCTGCAAGATCCGCCCAGTGATACTCATCGTCTGATACGAACACGCCCATCCTCGCCAGGTTCATCAGCAGCACGAAGGCCAGAAATGATACCAGGTATTTTTGATTTCCACGGAGGCAGCCGAGGAACTTGATCTTCGGAGAGCTGGCCTGTTTATCTTGACATCATGGAGAACTAAGATCGCGTGGCAGGCCTTTCTGAGCACAGAGGTGCAGGCACAACAGAATTAAACAAGACTCTGTCTATCAATGTTGGCAAATTCTGTTATTGGCCCACTGCTGTCAAGCGAGCAGCCGTGTCAGCCCAGCGGATGGGAAGACACCAAATGCTGAAGCAGCAGACTCGCATGTTGCCAAGGCCGTCGAAGAGCCCAAACTCGAAGTCTGGCTTCTCTTGCTGAACCTCTTCCTCAGGAAGTGCAGTGTATCTGGGATTGTAATAATACACCAGGCCGGCGAATATCGTAGTGGCTGCCAGAACGGCGTGGAACAGCAGGAGCAGGTGCTTCAGCGTTCGCACCTGCTTCTTGGTCTCCTGAGGCGGAAAACAGGCGTAGATCAACCTAGATCTCTCAGGGTTGTGTCTTGGTGACACCAGCTTCTGTGAAGGATTGTCGCGCGGCCCCAACATGCCGAAGTCCGACACACCCACAAGCATTCAAAAAACCTTCCTCCCTCGCGATCTCCCGCATCACGGCATCGATTCTTTGCCTTACGGGGCATACAGTAGGTGTCACATTGAGAACCTGAGTTTGTATAGGCTGAGAGGGTTTCTGTGTGTTCACTTTGGATTTCGTCCTCATCAGACCCTGGCAACCCCACAAAGATGACCCCTAGTACCCAGCTTCAGGAGCATAGTTCCAGCCCCGACTGCACAGCAAAAGCCGAGGATGCTCACGCGAAAATCCATGGACGTGGCTATGGAGACGGATACTCCCCCAGATCAGACTTAACAAGTGGGAGCCGCGCTTGTCGGTGTGTGCAGTGTGACTTCAGTTTGGGGCTTGCGGTGTAAAGGATGACGGGACTTGCATGGGGCATCAACGCGCAAGCTTTTTATAAATGCGCCACCTTTTTAAAGCCCAAATCCACGCCTTTCAGCACTTGTTTGCTTAATTATAATCGCGATGTAACTCACACCCTCGGCCAGAGTGCCATACTAGGCACTTCCAATGGCAGCCGAAGCGCATCTCCAACTTCTCCGCTGCTGTCGGGCGTGGTGTTGCGGCTTCCTCCCTCTCGATCTCCCGCAGCACGGCAACGATTCTTTGCCTTACGGGGCATACAGTAGGTGTCACATTGAGAACCTGAGTTTGTATAGGCTGAGAGGGTTTCTGTGTGTTCACTTTGGATTTCGTCCTCATCAGACCCTGGCAACCCCACAAAGATGACCCCTAGTACCCAGCTTCAGGAGCATAGTTCCAGCCCCGACTGCACAGCAAAAGCCGAGGATGCTCACGCGAAAATCCATGGACGTGGCTATGGAGACGGATACTCCCCCAGATCAGACTTAACAAGTGGGAGCCGCGCTTGTCGGTGTGTGCAGTGTGACTTCAGTTTGGGGCTTGCGGTGTAAAGGATGACGGGACTTGCATGGGGCATCAACGCGCAAGCTTTTTATAAATGCGCCACCTTTTTAAAGCCCAAATCCACGCCTTTCAGCACTTGTTTGCTTAATTATAATCGCGATGTAACTCACACCCTCGGCCAGAGTGCCATACTAGGCACTTCCAATGGCAGCCGAAGCGCATCTCCAACTTCTCCGCTGCCGTCGGGCCTGGTGTTGTGGCTTCCCCGGCTTCCCCTGCCACGGAAAGAAGCAGCGCCTGCATGGATTCAGAAGGGGCGGGGGGCCCAATGTTCTACAACATTTTACAACCCACGCAAGTGGAGTACATCCCTAAACCTCCCAAGCACGCTGGACCCCAGCACATGTGCATAGGGAGCTGGGTGGAGTTTTGTTCTCATTAGCCACCCCCTGAGCCCGGCACCCAGCAAAGGCACGCGCGCAGCGCCCACATCTTTGGCCGGCGCTTGAACTCCCAGAGCTACAGTACGAGCAGATTCGCTGAGCCCGTCTGGCTTCAAACACCGCGGCGTGGCCAGCTTGCTTGCACTCGCGAAGTCATAGAAACCATCATCAGAAAGTTGAACACCCGACAGCGGCTCAGCACCGAAACGCACCGAACCAATGGTTGCTATTGTCTCTTACTGAATTTTGTCTCGCCTCGTGCACCAACTGCACTCTGCACCCCAGGACCCTTTCCGTCTGCAAAGCCCCATATCAAGCCCAAACCCTCAACCCCTCGCCCCACCCAACACCCCCGAAACTCAACTCATCCCCCCCTACAAAAAAAGCTACGTCTCCACCCCAAACTTGTTGAACCCAGGACTGAGTTTCCGGCCTCCGGAACCCTTTCCACCCTAAGTCCCCAAAGTCGAAGCTCCCATCCCCGCCCTCAGTTCCGGTGAGCGTCGGTTTCGGCTTCAAGGTTTTGCTGGGCCGCCTTCCTTGCATGGACCTTCCGGGTTCAGGGCTCTGGGCCTGAGAGTTTGGGACCGGCGGGTTTAAGGTTCCAGGGACGTGGGGGGAAGGAGGTTGTTTGAGAGCAAGCAAACTGTTTTTGAAGAGGGATGAGCATGAGGATGCGGACGAGGAGGGGGATGACTGTAGGAGGGGGAGGCGGAGGGCGGTCTAGTTGCGAGGGGCCTGTAGGATCTTTGCCACCGGCGCAGCTGTACATCTTCTCCATGGGGACTTGGGGATTTAAGGCTGAGTCCACGTTGTGAGGCGAGAGTTCATGTGCAGTTTCCAGGGGACGTGTCCAGCTTGACGAGACGCGTGACATGCTATAACCACACAAAACCCTGCACATTCATGAGTGTCAAGCCGGCTCAAATTCGGAACTCACGACCAAGGCCCTAAACCCAGGTTGACAATCAAACCAGATTAATGCTGTACTGTCTACCAGTAGCAGTCTACAATCAGAAGTTTTGCAAAACCATTTTGCGAACTAGTTCGTTGGGGTCACCCGCAAAAAATTGCAAACTTGTGTTTTGCATTATTGCTTTGTTAAAGGGTCTGTGGTCTAAAGGTTTCAGGCCTTAAGGCCCCTTGGGCCCAGGAATCGTAGAGTCCGAACCCGGAGAATCCACTAAGCCAAGCCCGTTCTGTTCCATCTAAAACCTTATTGGATTTCATTACGACATGAGGCCCCCAACAAATTTCGTGATAGCTAGCCCACAAACCACCGATTCACTTTGGTTTGTTTGGGTACTCGCCAGAATTTTGTGAAGGACCTTCAGGCCCTAGAAGCTTCTGGTCTTAAGGGCCGTGGCTTCAGCCCAGGAAGGCAGGAAACCTTCAGGCCTTGAAGCCCTGAAGGCTTCAAGCCTAAACAGCTTCAAGCCTTTTGAGCGTGACTTCCGCTCAGGTCTTCCCCGCCCCCCCCCCCTCCCCAAATTTGTTCGGGGGTCCCTGGGGAGGCCCTTACTAAAGCCACTGCAACATGAGCGGTCAAGAGGTTTGGCTAACTCTAAACCCTCAACCCTAAACTTCCTAAACCCGAAACCCTAAACCCTAAACCCTAAACCGATCAGGTTCTCCTTCGAGAGTATCGGCGAGTCCGCCTAGAGAAGCTGAGCGAGACGCTGGGCAAGGTGCAGGCTGCGATCGGGGCTCCCTAAACCCTAAACCCTAAACCCTAAACCCTAACCCTTAAACCCTAAACCCTAAACAAACCCTAAACCGTTGTTGGTAGTAGCCAATGGGGGCTATACACCCCCCCCCCTCCGACCGCCCATGCCAGGGGCTCGCCCCCTTCAAAAAGGAAAATTGAAGAATCTCGTAGTTTGCAGCTCAAGTCCGACATGGAGGGGCGGGATTCCGTAAATTTATGAAATGGCGGGGCCGGGGGCTGGATTTCTTACTTGAAGGGGCGGGGAAAACCTGCAGTTAAGAAATTGAGGGGCTGGCGCTTATGGGTATTTGAGGGGGGGGGGGGGGGGGTTGCAAAAGCCACCAGAAAGAGCTTTAAGGCACAGTGACAGCGCTGGATAAGAATCCTCTAAGTTTTGGCGAGGGTACCCGGATTTCTTAATTATGAAGCCCACCCAATTTCCGGAAATGTAACCTCCACATTTTCGAGGGTACCCTCGATTTCTTAATGTATTTCTTAGTGGGATTCGAACTGGTAATGTTTGAATTAGTAAGGCGACGCCTTATCCATTAGGCTGATCGCTTGGATTCTTAACTGGCGTCCCCCTCAACTTGGAAATCCAGCCCCTCAAGTTCAGAATTTGAGAGGTTTTGGGGACACCCCCCCCTCAAATAAGAATCCAGCCCCTCAATTTCTCAAATTTAAGAAATCCAGCCCCTCGATTTCTTAAATTTAAGAAACCCAGGCCCTCGAATGCTGTTTTCTATTGGTGCTGGGCGAGAGGGGGAGGGGGCGGGGGTGGAGGGGCGGGGCTGGATTTAAGAGATCAAGGGCCTGGATTTCTTCAATTTAAGAAATCGCGGGGCTTGATTTTCTTACGTAAATGTAAGAAATCGAGGGCTGGATTTCATAAATTTAAGAAATCGAGGGGCTGGATTTCTTAAATTTAAGCAATCGAGGGGCTGGATTTCTTATTTAGGGGGGATGTTTTTCATTGAGGCGGGGAAGCATGCACAACCGTAGGGGCTGGATTCTTAAACTGTTAAAATTCTAGAAGCTGAGGGGCAGTTGCAAAAACGACCAAATTTAAGACATTGAGGACCCGAGGATGAGGGTACCCTCGATTTCTTCATTGAGTCTTGCTCCCAATTTTCGCATTCTTATCCGGGGTCCAGCAGCGAGCATGCTCCTTTCTTAAACCAATGATCTCTAAATCAGTGCTGTCACTGTATTTGGCTAAGGGTACCCTCGATGTGTTAATATGAACGCTGCGCGACCTCGGCCGGGGAGGTAACCTAAACCGGAGATCGTACATGTGAAGGTTCTGTTAGGATTCAGGGCTCAGACCCATTCCAAAGAAACTTCCAAAACTACGGGTCCTTGTGGGCTCTTAGTAGAGACTGGGGGAACAAGGTACAGTACCTTAGATCCCCCTATCTTTGGCTGTGCGTTCTCGCCCCCCCCCCCCCCAAACTACCCAAAACTCTAAGCCCAAACCCTCATTTCCTACAACCCTCAGGCCTAAACCCAAAACCTAAAGCTGTTGACCCTATGTAATCCTAAGGCCTAAACCCCTAAACGCCCTAAGCCCGAAAATCCTTAAACCCTACACCCTAAAGCCGCCACAGCTACACCAGAGGGGGGGTGGGGGGGGGCTCAGGGGCCCGCCAGGGGCACACCCACGCATACCATACCAACAATCGGCAGCGTGACGCTTGGGCAGGATGGGCGGCGGCTGCGGCATTGCGTCCGCCGGGGAAGCCCGGGTTTTCTCCATGGCCTCCCCTCTTTGGGGTACAGGGTTTAGGGGTTTATGCTTGAGGTTTATACTCTAAGGTTCAGGGGCTAGGGGCCCACTTACACACATGTAAGTAGGTTGCTTTGCCAGGGTTGGAGTGTGCTTGTTTCCCTGTTACTGACCAAAGATCCATATTCCGAATATCCCAGTAGTGGGGTGGCGGTGTTCGGAAGTTGTAGATTGCGCCGAGTTGAGGGTTGAGAGGTTGAGGGTTCAGGGCCAGAACTTTGTCACGGGGCTACGACTCGCACCCCTAAGGTCGTACCCCTAAAGGTTCCCCCCAAAAAAACTTACTCCCAATATGGCCCTTATACTACCTTAAGGCCCTAAGGATCTTTAACAGGGTCCCCGCTGCCAGATGCTTTCGCAGCTTCTCGACCCCACCTCCTGTCCCCTAAAGCAGCGTACGGTCCCTTCGAGCAGAAGGTTCTCTCGGTAGTTTCGCACCCCTGCACCTTGAGCTCTTTGAGCTCGTGGAGGCACCACCGTCGGATGCGGCCTTGAGTCACGCGAAGGCATTGGCTTTAAGGTTTCTGAAGGTGCGGTGCTTCAAGCTGGTTTGGCATCAGAGCAAGCCCCAACCCAAGCCATGTCCGAGATTGTAGCCTCACTGGGAAAACCAGGTACATTGAACGATTGAAAAGCTGTCAGCTCACCTAAGTAGCAGTCCTGGACACTTCGACGGACGAAGCATGACAGTCCTGCGCCCGGACTAAGATACCGGCATCCGCCGAGGGCGACTCGGAAATGACGGATGCTGCATCTGCCTCGGATCCACGCCACCCTTTCAACACCGAGAGTGCCCAACACTCTAGCCTGACTCTAGTCATCACGAATAGAGAGGTGAGATGCCTATTTCAGCAACCGAGATGCGGCATCTTCGTACTCCACGCCTGCCAAGCGGCATTCCAGCGCGTGTTCCTTATGCAAAGGCTGTTGGTGAGATGAGTTTGTTCGCCGACTGAGTCTTCGGGATCTGGCTCGGTCATACCAGGGATTCCAGGGTTCTGCAAGATATGGGGCTCAAGTTCAATTGGTATTATGATGTATAAGTACTGTAACTGTAGGCCCTCAACACAACCCAAGACTCTACACCTTTAGATTCGAAATCGGCTGTCACAGAAGTGCCTCACATCACACTTCTCAGATTGGCACACCTTCTGTAGTCTTGTCTCGGGGAAGGGACCGCGTTCTTTGGACCATTTAGGTGCATGGTCTCTTTGCGTGGATGCTGCTTGGCACAGGCCATAGATAGAATGTCGCCTTGCTACGATCTGGTACGCCAAGACGCATGTCGCAACTTCTCCAACGCGGGGAACGGCTTCATCAGAAGTCGGATCACGCTGGCGTGCCCTGCTCTCGGAGGCACAGGATGTGTTTTTGGCTTGCCCCTATGTGTCGTTTAGCGGGTTAGCAAGAGAAGGGTCGCTAAGCGATTTCGGAAGTTGCGGTTCTTGAAATTCAAGTCGGTTCGTGTGATGAAAACCGTGCATCCTTTCCCCCGATTCTTAAAGCGCCAGATGTTACAGTAAGCAGATGAGCGCATTCGAAAACCGCATAAAGTGGCATAAAGCCGAAGCCAACCTTTAAAGGGAGTTACTCTGAAAGTCTGATCCCGCAACCCCCGGGGTTTAGGGTTTAGGGTTTAGGGTTTAGGGTATGGCGGTGGTTTCAGGGATTGGGGTCCAGCTGCCTCGGGCATTGCAAAACTTCGTTTTGAACAGAGACACAGGCATTGCTATGCAATCGCAGGGCCAGCACGAAGGGTCTACATAGGCCGAAAGAACCGTTTCGAGCCAGAAACGCAAGCTCCTGCAACATGCTTCTCCCCGAGCCTTTGATGGCGGCCAGATGAAGCAAGGAGTTTCCAATTTGATCCGATGCCTGTGGGCAGGGTTCCTCTTCTTACATGGCTTTGCTGGTCACTCTAGCATCGGCAAACGGAGTTCTTTGCCCAAGCTAAGACTGACTATCCCGCTTAAACTTATGGACATTCATGGAGGTGTTTAAATGAGGACGGTGTTCTTCGCCAGCTTGTGCCGCAACAATCAAGCGAGAGCAGGAGATGGCGCGTTCGCCCATTAATGTTAGACCCGCTTTAGTAGGGGCCTCCCCTTTAAAGTCAATTTGGCCAAATTATTCAGGACCCCCTGACTGTTTGCGGGGTCTCCTTTAAAGTCAAACCGTCCGGGTGCCGTAAGAAAATTCCACGTGGCGCGCCTTTAAAAAAGATAACCGGGCATCGCTGCCCCTTTTAAACCTATCTAAACTCCTCCCTATTGAAATCATATAAGCCCCCGGGGGCGTGTAATCAGGCTCCCAGCCACGCCTCAACTGTTCAGGGGGGGGGGGGGGGCCCAACACACTAAAGAGGGTCCAACATTATTGCTAACGTCAGTTTTGCGTCGAACGCCAATGACGCGTTGTAGCTGGCAACAGTCAGCACATCCAGGTTTTCTGATTCGGGCGGCGTCGTCTTTCATGTGTGCATGGCTCTGTGGCAGAAATGCCAGACTTGTCGCAGCCCGGCAAAAGGCCGTGACTACAAACCTCATTGCCTTGAACGATGTGAAGCTTATTCAGCTGTCCGGCGAGGATTTGGGGCCTCATTTCGAAATGAAGAGGTATTGGCTTTGCAGGGCTGTAACAAGTTGCCCTCAGTCAGAAGAGCTATGCACAAACCTACACGGCTGAAACTGCCCATGCCATTGTCCTGCTTCACTTGCTGACACGAAAATGGGACGGCCCAATGAATAAGCATGAGGACTCTGACAAACGCCTTTTCAGTGTTTCTTCAGTAGTCATGGACAGCAGTCACTGCGATGGAGCTCTTATCCACACGGTTTCCGTGTTCGAGCGCCCAGTCAAATCCACTAGACGTGGCGAGATAGGCTTCTCGAAGCTTTGGCTGGTTGAGCTTAAGGACATCCCGCTTCAAGGATCTTCTGGAATGTGTAGGTGCCAAGCAGTGCTAGAATGGGTTCTGCAAAGTGTTGCTTCGAGAAGCTCCTGGTCCTACATGATTCAATGATCTATGTCACGGTGGCTTGCTGCAGCCAGAAACTCTGGCGAACAACCTCGGCTTAGAAACGTGGCCGAGATTGCGCGCGCGCGCGCAGTCGGAGCAGCAATTAACTTTCATCGCCAGCTTCAGCCCCGAAACCATCAACACCATCCTCAACTCCAAACTATACGCCTAACAGTAGAACTGAATTGAATCATGAAGTCCCGTTTACCTACGCGCCTACGTTTTGTTGCGGCATGCACAAGGCAGGAGACCACAAACTCTGCATGTGTGTGTGTGCTGTCGAAGCGCTTCCGGCTAAGCTTAAGCGACCAGGCGGTAGAGGGGTTCACCTGCATGGCCCTCCTCTCAGGCCACGCTTCTCGTCTTGACGTGGCTGGGCCATCCCTCATTGGGAGATGTTGGTCCCGCGCTCTCCATGCAGTAGGCAAGTACGCGGAGGCCTTTCGTTAGGAGCGGAGACCCGTGAAGGTGCGGGTCTTGGGCCTGACAGGTCGGCGTTTTGGGGCAATTGGGGCACTTCGGCTCATCGCTTTCGCTTTTCATGCTGCACTTGCTGCTGGTGTTTTTCATTGCGCAGGACAGGAGATCGTCGAACCTCTCGGTTTTGGTTGGCTTTTTGTGCCGCTGGCGCCGCTGGGGCCTTCGTGCACAATTTTGTCTTGGAGATCTTATGCAGTTTGCCGCTGCCTGTTATCGCCGTCCGGGCGATCACCGTACCTCTCGTTGCTCAATGGCGGTCCATGTAGATTTTGATGTTTATGCTATTCCTCGCCCTTCTATACCTCGGGCCAGTTTGCTTTCACAGATCCCTCTGTGTGAATTCGTGCACATTCTGACATTCCCTTGTCCTTTTGGGGCTGCGCAGGCTCTTGCCTTCCTGTCAAGGGTTTGACTGCAGTCTTTCCCTGTCGGATTGGAATAACTTTAGGGGCGTAAGCAGAGGATGTGTACAATTGGGGCCCTGGAACCGAAAGGCAATTTGTTCAAGGCCAAGAAAATAGCAGACCGCCCTCTGCCTTTGTCAATGTGCAATTGGAAACTGGTGGGACGATGAGGCCCCACCTGAAGTCCCTAAGCCTTTTGAGCTTTAGAAAAAGCAGAAAGTACGTTAGCCGAAATCAACACCTCCATAAAACCTGTTGTACCGACAATCGCTGTGACGCGGAGCTTTCGTGAAGAGGCGCCACCTTCCAGCGACCTCCTGCTAACCTGCAGCTGGGCTTGTGAAAGGGCCGGCAGCTTTAAGAACTTGATTTGGGGAGTGGGATGTACTGGGGATCACTGTGGCCCGCATGTGTGCGGCTCACGAAAGCCAAACCCAGACCCACAGCATGCCATGCACAAACTCAGTCCTATTTATGTCCTATTCTCATAGGCCAGTGGCCATTGAAGTAGTCCAACGAACTCCCCTAAAGAAAGAAGTCCAAAGCCCCTTTGAACCAGAAATCCTAATTCCAAGCGAGCGGCTTCGACTTTGGAAAAGCTTTGCAGAATGGTCGCCTCTCACAGCTCCGCTCGTAGTAGGCGCTGCCTGGAGAGGCCCACAGCACTTCTCAGACATTTTACAGGCAACTAATGACAAGATGTATTGAAACAGAGAAACCCGCCAATCAGATACAAAAGCCTGAACATCCGCCAAACGTCCCCAAAACCCTGAACCCACTGCATCCCTGCCTGTAAGACTCACTGCCTCTTCCCCATCTTGCAGCAGACACTGCCACTGCCCAGATGCCTCCAGGGCTTACTAACCCCAGTCGCTTGAGATCTCTTGAGATGTTCCTACTATGTGAGTACTGTGGGATGCGAGCTGCTTTGCAGTCAACGACGGCTGCTCGACAAGTCTTCCCCCGTCCACACTACAATGAGGCCATGGACGGTTCTTTATTCGAGAGGTGCCCCAACGAAGGAAGCCAGGTCATCACATGCAGAAGCTTGTCAAGAAGAATCGCTCGGCAACACGAATATGACAATGACAAAGCCTTGAACTCATGCGTGCAGGCTTAGGGACGATTCCAGCACGTGATGGGGCTTTGAAAGTGTCATATCAGTGTGCCAGCAAAGTCGTTCGGCAGTGAAGGGCTTTGGGTGTTGAATGGGTGCTTTTCGCCTGCACTGGGGAACTTAACGCGCGCCTAGCTGGTGACATTGGGGTTTCGCTGTTGTCACGCCTCTGTGAACTCAGAGTGGCCCGGCATTTGACAGGAGCAGTGGTATCTGAAGTAGCCATGCCTTGGCATCCACCGCAGCAAAGATCAGGCCCTAACCGCGAATCAATCCTCCACACAACAAAGTTCGCCCTGTCCCCCTGTGCACACTGAGAATTTTTAGAACTCCCGAGTTGCTTGAAGAGCTCCAGGCGAATGTTTAACCAAGTGTGAGTGAAGTGGCCCTCGCACTCGTACAGCTGACCTCAGTGCTCAGCATGGTCCAGAGTGTCCCTAGTGGTCCCACAACCGAAAATCGGCCTCAAAACTGAAACGCTGGCTGAAGCCGGCGAACGCCTTCGCATCTCAAGCTCCAAACCCATGCGAGTTCGAACACATCACAAACGAGCTTCAACAGAACAACTTTCAAGGCAAGAGCAGTGGAAGGAACCACGTCAATGCACAGAAGTTCTCATTGATCATGAACGGAGCCAAGCGAACTTGAACAACGTCGCTAATCACGAAGCGTCACTTTTTTGGTAATAGCCTCACCCTTCCATAGGCCCTGTAGCGATGCCAGGCCACTGAAGCTTTTGCTGGTGCACCATTCTGGACGGTCGCTGCCCAGCACGACAAGTAGATGAGCACCGGCCAGCTTTGATGCTGGCGTGCTATACCTGAACCGCACGGCCCTGCACCGTAACTTGTCACTCATGGAATCATGGAAATTCCTCGAGGCGTGAGGTTCTCTTTCCGGTTGATCGCGTAGTCAGATCCCCCACAAATTTCACCCCCGCCCACCGTTCACTCACACGAGGATTGTTCGGGAAGACTATTCACCCATACCGGCAGGTCCACGAAGCTTCACCTTCTCCAGCAGCATCAGTCCCTGCCTCCTGCTTGCAATCTGAAAACCCAATTAAGGAGTACTTAGAATATAGTTCATTGATGGACAACCGTTCCCCCGTTCTATCTTCGGGCTCGGGCTTGCGGATTCCCATTTGCACAGCCTTGAACAGCTTTGATTTCGGGACTATTCACGGTGTACCAATAAAGCCTGTAAACTACAGCAGGGAGCAGAGTTGCAAAATGCCAAGATGCTCGAGAATGGCCCGGTTGGCATCGCCGTTCGTGGAGGCATTGCTGACCTGGGCACTGGGTCCACGCGGAGGAAACGCAGTGGCAGTGGTGTGATGGGGGAAACGTTATCTGTGCTGCAGGGGAAGGGCCTCCAAAAATTGCATCGACGATATCGACGTCGATGCGCCCATCTGAAGGGCGCCGGCAATTCGTGCCTGAAGGTTCAAGAGAGTGTCGCTCGGGGCGCAAACCTTGGCTGCACATTGACACATCGGGTTCCGAGGCCTGTGAGTTACAGTGCCTTTTTGTTTTTGAACCCGCGCTATGCTACTGCCTGAGACGGGAATGTGACAGCACCATCGCTCCACGATTTTACAGTGCCCTGTTTACATGATTATCATTCGAGTTTAGACGAGCCAAGAAGCGATGTCTGCTGTCATGCCGCTTAGAAGGCTCACCTGAAATTCCACGTGGCCAGGACTCTGTTCCTGGCTGGCGTTGGCGTCCTCCAGATTCTCATCGGATATGCCGGGCTCCTCGCACGCTTGGGAAGCCCGAGACGCTGGGGTGCCTAAGACCCCGAGGGACCGCATCCAACAACCTTCTGCACAACATAGTTAGAAAGAACGTGCTTGGGGCTAGGACGGGTAGCCTGTTACCTCACTGCACCCCAAGCTCTACGACCCCCCAATAAACCATCGCCAAAATACCGAAGCTTTCCGTCCAACTGGTGTGCCTCCACTGCGAGGGTGGCGCCGTAGCCAGCCCAGGAATGGCTCCTCACAACATTCCAGAGCCTCCTCCCAGCAGCCCTTGAGCCCCTGGAGTCCTCAAACTAAGTCCCTTCAAGTCCTCAACTTCTTCAACCAACCCGTAAAGCTAGGCCATGCGGTCAGACGCTCCTTGCCCGTGCCTCCTATACCCGGAAAGAAGCGTTAAAGTGATGCTAAGAACAGCCAGGGGTTCTCCGAAGCGAGAGGATAGATGACATCTAGCCCATGAGAGAAGCTGCAGCCAGCACCTCGGAGACAATGGCCCTCCATGAAGTATCCTTGGTTCACGTGAGTGCCTAGCTCAGTCCAGCGTATGTTGGCCAAGGGGGAAGCTCGAAGTTGAAAACTTTCTAGCAAAATCAGCCCGGTGTCTGCAGATCTGGGTCTTGTATCGTCCGGGCTTGGCTGAAGCAGGGTACATGCTCGGGGCCTTCATGGGTAAGTGGGCAAATCGACATAAGGCGCCCCACGTGCACCTGCCCTGTGCAAAGTACTTGCACAGTGTCGGCTGCCTTACCACAAGGCACATGGCTTCCTGCCCCTCCTTTGGAGTGGCCCGGCAAACATCGCCCGCCATGCCATCTACTTTCATGGCTTGAGCTCCAACACCAGCAAGCCGGCGTAGGGTGGGTTCGGCCTCTGGTGCCCTGCAATAATCCGAAGACCCCCTGTCACATGCGCTACGCCGGCCCTCATTCACAAAGCAAATTTATGCAAGGCCATGCAAGGCCCAACACTTCCACATCTGCTTATAACACGACTAAGATCCTGAACAATATGTTGGCCTAACCCCCTGTGAAAATCCTAGATTCTGGATTCAGGCCGGGTTTAGGGTTCGGCAAGAAGTCCCCTGAAAAGCCCTTGCGCCTGAGGGTCGGCTTTGTACATGAGCAAGGTGTGCAAGGCTTTTGCCTCGATTTACGGGTCGCGGCATGTCATGGGCCATGGGATCGTTTAGATTGTTTTGAGGCTATCGCTGAAGCTTTCGGCATTCGGACTTTAAGGGGCTGCCGTGGAGTAGAAGCCTCCAGAAACTCTGGGCTCAGGAGGCCGTGGGAGCTGCAGCACGCACTCGGGCGAGATGGAGTACTTCAGCTACAGCTGTCCTGTTTCCTAAACCTAAACCCAAATGGGTGCTCCTAATATTGGGTAACACAAAAGATGTGCAGAACGAGTAGCACAGCCCCGCTGGGCTGCTGCTGCAGCCGTCTCCGTCGCCGCATCCGATGCCTCGATGATTGTGAGGCAGAATTTCTGTCAACCGCATAGCTGGACGACTCACCCCCCCGCAGGGACACAACAACTCAAGACAGCACAACATTTGCTGACATCTGCTGCGACTGCCCTCGGCCGCAAAGTGAGATGATCGACCGAGTCAGAACTCTGAGGGGTTCAGATGCAGGGTTTAGGGTCTAGCGATTTCTTGTCCCAATCTGCAAGAAGCGAAGCCTGAAATTCTGAGGAGGCGGACTTGCGAGGAGGAGGCGAGAAGCAACTGGATCATGGAGGCCTCAGTACTCATGGCTTCATCGATGTCTGCTGTTTGAGAGATGACTTTCGCACGGTGGCAGGTTCTGAGGCGGCCTTCAATGCGTCGCTACAGTACATCTGATTTGCACACGTTGTCTGGATGGATTGCAAGCCAAACAGTTTCCTGTTCCCTTCAACAGGTGGTCGATCGTGGTGCGTTGCTCAGAACGCGGAGCTCCTTGAGTATAAGCAGCAGCTGGCAGCTTGAATCTCAATAGCAATCCCTACGCATGAGCCTCCAAGTGAGGATTGGATAATCAGCCCAGTTGCGTCATCTCCTTGCACAGCCATGTGTAGAAGTGAGTCTCCTGACCATAGGACAGATGACGTGCACGAGCCTCAAGGCTGCGAGTCTGCGAGCTCAAATATCATGCTGTTTCTCGAAGCCGCGTGCGCTAGACCTCGACGTGCCACTGGACATCCCTGAGCCCATCCTTCGAAGGTCTTCGCATCCAAAGAGCCCTTGGCGTGATGCAGCCTGGCTCGCTCGCTCTCTTGCTTTGTTCTGCTTCCTCTCTCTCTCTCTCTCTGTCTCTCTCTCTCGCTGCTCTCTCTTTCCATTTCTTTCGCAGGGGCAAGCCCTCGCACAGTGCGCGCCCCTCCCCCCCCTCCCCCGTTTTCGCTGGCGAAAACTACCGAGAGCTTGGTGTCTCACACCCCCCCAGGCGCCTTGGGACAGGACACCAAACCTGTCGAGATGGCTTCGCTCTCTCTCTCTCTCTCTCTCTCTCTCGCTCGCTCTCTCTAACCCTGAACAACAGCTCGATCAAGCTCAATGAACGAAACCTAAGACGGGCTTATGACGCTTCTTCAGACTCCGCAAACTTTGGAGCCAGAGCCAACCCGCACAAACAGGTAGGAGAACAGCGACACCACTTCCACAAAGCCGCCACTGACAGCGAAGTGGAGCGCGGTCCAGCCCGCATCCTCTGTCTGTGACACCCGCCGAGGAAAATTCTCTCGATTCAGACTTTATGAAATTCGTGTCAGAATAGTGCGAGGAAGGCACCTGCTGTGTTCCTGAGACCAACATCAGAGGGCTTAAGGGCCAGAGGCCCAGAGGGCTTCGTTCATATGCTTGGGGCCTGATGCCATGAGCTGCAAGTCCAAAGCAAAACGACCCCGAACAACAAACTTGGTACTGGTATCACAATCATCTATCGGCATCTCCTGATACTTAAAAAGCCCAACCTCCAAAGAGTTCCACATTCACCTTTCCGAGGCAGCTGCATCCAGGCTCGCAACTTCGGCCCTTTGCTGCACCTCATCCAAGGGCTTGGGAGTGAGAAGAGGGGACAAGAAGGGCCTGGAGCGAGAAAGAAGGCTTCGAAAAGAAGGGCCTACAGAAGGCCTGCTTGCAACTCAGGACACAGTGTCCAGGGTGTGGTTCTTGGTAAGGACCAACGATAGAAGGGGTCTGGAGTTTCAAGTTTCCTTCTGCTACGCATGCGGCGTCTCGGAATATGGTCAGCGGGGGCCGGCTCCCTCTGATGCCAAGCCAAACCTTTGCAGCTCTTGCGCTCTTTGTCCTTGTCCGCACCTGATGTGATGATGGGAGAGAGCTGCACTGCGGGCATGGGCCCACGCAGTGTCAGTCTCAGGCTGTGCGAAGCGCGGTGCTGCAATTTCTTTCGCGATTGCGATTGAACTTGGCATTCTGCTAGCGGCCTAGAAAGCATCGCCATCTCAAAAAGACGCGAATCACAGCGATCATGGAGCCCGTTCAGCAAATACAAGGCGTGCGGATCAAAATTTGCAGGACTTCTTCACGCTTGGTTGAGCGCCTTTTCACTTGAAAATTCATACTATAGGTTTGATGGGACCTGCTGCAAATCCCTATCGAGGATCTCGATCTGTTTCGTACATGTACGTGTAAACCACCTAACTCTCGCCACGGCCATGAGGCGCGAGGCCATGCAACGCAGCGCCCCCCCCCCCCCCCCCCCCCACGAACACATTTTGACAAAACCTTCTGGAAAGGCCGAAATTCGGAGAGAAAAACAACAAACGGCAGAAGCTTTCCGGTACAGGCCTGTCGCCCAGCATTCAGGCCGAGTCATTTTGGGAGGCCGGTGCATTTGGGGCTTAGGGGTTCTCAGATTCGCAGGGCCAGGAGAGAAGGACAAAACTCGGAAAATCCAGGCACCAGCATCTGCACGATGTCGTTTCGGCCATAGCCTCAGTGTGACAGACCCCGTTGTGGGCGAGGGGGGGGGGGGGGGGGAAGTCTTGCCACATGGTCGGGCGCTTCAAAATTGCCGAAGCCGTCTGGACTCCCATAACCCTCACATGGCTAATGGCCCTGAGGCCCTCTGTGAACGCCGCAGAAGTTTGGAGCGAAGGGGCCTGCGCGGCCTATTTTTTAAAGGTCAGGGCTGAGGGGTCAGCCCTCAGAGCCTTAGCCAGCTCATTTTTTTGCGTTGCGTTCATCTCGCAGTCTTTTGCGCCCAGCCTGCAGTCTGGGTTCCGCGCTGGAAGCCCAGGAAATAGCGGTGCGATGGCCTGAGCTCACCATACGGCAATACGAAGCCTACAAGGCCCAAAGCCGCAACGCCACAACACCCAAGCGTCCTTTGGAGCCTGCCAAGCTCGTGGGGGCGGGGCATGCAAGTGGTGTAGGGATCCCCAGGATGCATGCGAGTCCAAAGGCAAAGAAGCAAAAAAGAGCCCGACATCTTCAACCTCGCCTCGCTTCAGAGGTGGAACTTGGAAACAGTGGGGTCCCGACTTGATGGATCCCGTGCATTCACCTTGGCTTCTGGGCACGAAACAAAAACGACTCCCAAGCTTCCCGCTCTGAGAGATGTCAAGCCGGTACACACACACACACATATATATATATATATATATATTATATATATATATATATACGACTCTATGGGTTCCCCCAGCGTCAAGGGTTTTTGGAAGTTCGAAGGGGGCTGTCCAAGGGAGTTTACAGAGGAATGTCGATGGCTGATGGGCCAGCGGCTCAAAACACTGGTGCTTAGTTGTTGTACAACATACTGCACAAGGATGTGGAGCAAGACATCCTGTCACAAGCGCTCACATGCCCGAAACACTTGTATCTCCAGTGTTTTTGCTTCTTTGTACAACATTATGCACAAGGATGTTTGGCATTCCTGGAACAAGACACGGTGACACAAGCTTCGGCGTGCATGTCCAAAACACTTGCATTTAAAGAGAACGATGTCAGTGACTTGAGTCGCTGTAAAGATGCAGGAATGGAGCACGTGTAGGTTAGGTTAGGGTAGGGTAGACACCCGACAAAAAAAACATAGGTTTCGTAGCACTTTTGACACTCCCGTGTAATAGGGCAACCTACGCGCAAGCACCCTTATAGTTCTGCAGTTGAAGGCTGGGGTCCGACGTCGAAACTGAGGGCATATACTTCAAGGATCCAGGCCCCACAACTCCACACAACTCGGGCTGTCACAAAGGCGCATTGCTTCAACCTCGGCATGTCAAGGACAGCAACACTCTGTTCAGTTGCTCGTGCCTATCGAACATCTCGGGTTCAGGACTTGGTGAAGTAACACCCTGACAGCGTTAACTGCAGGGACAAATCCTGGATATATCTTTTCAACCAGCAGCGCTAGCTGTTCTTTTGCAACATACGCTGGAAACCGGGCTTGGTGGTCCTTAGCGCTTCCCGGGGCAAACCTGACCCAACAATGAGGAGCTACAATCAACGACTAACGATGACTCACATAGGGCCCCGAGTGAGTGCTGAGTTTGACCATGGGAGCATTGTTCCTGTACGAGCATCAATCGGAATATATGGATGAATGGAGTGGTGGATAGGTGAGAGATGGCTGCAACATATGTAAGCACAATGTGCCCGTGGAGAGCTGTGCTCGCGCCTTCAACGCACACGCACGCACACGCACGCACACGCACGCACACGCACGCGCACGCGCACGCACGCGCACGCACGCGCACACGCCCACGCCCACACCCATCCCCCCCCCACCCACACCCACACACACACACACACACACACACACACACCACACACACACACACACCACACCACACACACACTCACGCGCACGCACGCGCACACGCCCACGCCCACACCCCCCCCCCCCACCCACACACACACACACACACACACACACACACACACACACCACACACACACACACACACACACACACGCACACACGCACACACGCACACACGCACACACGCACACACGCACACACGCACACACGCACACACGCACACCCGCGCGCGCGCGCGTGCGGGCCCGCGCCCGCGCGCGCCCCTGCACCTTAGCCGCCTTATTAGCCACAACTGAGGTGCCCTTGCGGTACAGACGCGCCTTGGAAGATTCTACAGCCTGAAGCCTCAGCTGAACTTCCCAGGCTACAAAGGCAAGGACCGAAGCCGCCTAAGACGCCTTCCCACCTTCCCCAACCACCATTCTGGGCTCCGGTGCGCCTGCCGAACGCCGTTCCAGTCAGCCCGGGCGGCAGAGAGAAGGAGCCGGGCCTTGACTGCGGCGCGAAAGCTTTCTATTGGGCATACATATATACTTCTCATGGTTCGAATCAAATCAACTCCTGGCCCTAGGGCCAACGACAGAAGATGTGCTAGTGTATATAGACAGCCGGCCTAGAAGCAACACTTTGTAGTTGATCAATCGTGTGTGCGACCTACGTTGACTCCGCATAATCAACTTCCAGGAGTATAGCGGACGGGAAGTCGGATCAGCATGCACAGCTTCGAATGCGACCCCAAAGGACACGACGAAGCCTCTTAACTGTTCACCCTGAATAATTCACCCACATGGAAACCGCACACGGTCTTGCGACTTGGGCACGTTGGCCCCATCTGCGACGCGCAGCACTTCCGACACATGCCCTCAGTCGGCACTTGAAAGCGGGTTCCCGGACATACAACGTTGTCGATCTCTGAGAGGCCAGTACACGGCTTTGCTCCTTGCAACTAGCAGCACTAGCAGTCAGTCCGGTCGCCACCCAGCAAGCCAAGTATAGAGCACAGGAGCCCAAACAAAGATCTCACCAGCAATTCCGGAAGACTTCTGGCTCGAAGGGGTGGTGTGTCTGACTTCGTTGGCCGCTTCACCCCGATTCTTCTAGCAGTTGACCCGACTCGGCCTCACGAGGCCTGGGACAAGTGCAGTCAGTCGCAAGCTCTCCGTCCCGCAATTGGCTCCATGGCTATGACACAGGTGCGCACAACACCCGGAGCTGAACCCTGAAAGTCCATAAACGACCGAAGAAGGACCGAGCTGCAGTTCTGATGCTGGGTGTTGTCCACCTTCCACGCGCAGTCCTCCAGGACCCGGGTGCTCGCCCCATACCTGCTGCGGCGCTGTGAGGCCAACTGATTGATCAAGGGAAGCAAGGGCATGCTGTATAGATCGGTTTGAAGGGTCCTCCCCAGAATTCGAAGGATTGGGGGTCTTCAGGTAGTTGGCAGTTGCTGAGCCTTTGGGCATCCTAAAACATTCCAGGCCAGCAATAATGTAAACTTCAGCTTGTTTTGCACAGAGTGGACATGTCCCTCCAGAAGCCAGAAATCCAGACAGCCTAGCCTAGGCCTAGGCTCCGCCGCCAACCTTTTTGCCCGATGTTTCTGGGGCTCCGCACTTGAACAGCAGCTGCATCAGTGACACCTCGCTACGCTACGTGGTGGGATTGGCTTGAGCCAACCACTGTCTCCTTCTAGTCATCTCTATAAGCACTCGCTGAATTCCTTGCTGAAATCCACCGCCTCGACCTGCCGGCCTTATTATTTAGGACACACGCAACTCTCGACCAAAGCAGGCATCTAGCTGCGGCGCAAGACGCCGACCCGTGCACAGTTGCCTCAGTATGCAATTAGGGCGTTCGGCTTGGGACCTTGGGATCTGCAGAATCTGCAGGAGCAGCTCCTTCCCACCTACAGCTACGTGGTCTTCCTCGTGCATCCGACTGAATGAATCAAGGAAGGGACGGGCATGGGCTCTGACACGAAGACCCCAATGCCTAAGCGCTAGTTCAACCAAGGAGGTGGAACATTCAGGCCAGTGGCCCACAGCAGTGCGCTCCAGCCCTCGTCATCCGTGTGGTTTGCTTGTGCACCTTCCTGGTGGATTCACGGAGGAGTTGAGAAAGGTTGGTTTCATCAGGCTTAAGGATAATTTTCCCTTCAGGATTTGGGTTTCGGATTCCAGAATCTGGTGGTCTCAAGATGCCAAGCATGCCCAGCTGCTTAGCAGCTCCACTTCCCAGGCTCACAAGGATGGCTTCTTCGCTGGGCGCTGCGCTTCTCACTGTGAGGGTGCTTTCCGGGTCAGGGCTAAGCGGTCAAACTTCTGCAGTTTTGCCGACTCTACCGGAAAGTCAAATCGCCAAAGCTATCCAAACAAGGCCCATGGTCTAGAGATTCTCACACCGCAGGCAACTTCTCGCCAATCAGAGATGGGCGGCTTTGAGGCATTGTGCCACAACTTCGTTGTCATTCTGCTGCGCCCCCACGAGCCTGGGCAATGGGAATCAAGGAGAAGCTGAAAAGCTTCGCCACTTCATAGAACCCGAGACCTTTTCAAATCCAAGGTGCAATCGCTGATTCAGCCGGGCAGAGGCCTCGCGCAGGCAAACCAAGCAGGTTCTCTCAACGCTCGCAACGCCCTGGCGTGTACCCACAATCGGGGTATGAAGCATAGAAGTTACAGCTCTCAACCTCAAACCTTACAAAAACGCATCATACGGAACTCTTCCACGCCGAGCCGAAAACAATGACAAGCCTCCAGCAAAGTCAGCATGGCGGCGTGGTTCTTGGCGTGGTCGGCTGCCTGCCAGCCTTTATCGTCCTGAGGCTTGACATCATCTCAACCAGGGCAACCACATGCCTTGTACAAAACCCCAATCTCCAAACCCCTACATCCATAAAGTGGAACGACTTGACCGGTGCAAGGCATGTTTTGCGGTTCAGACAATGTGTGGTCTCAATCTTCATTGTGCAGCCCCATGGTTTCTCACCTGTCGTCTGAAGGGGTCGACTTTGTGACAGCCCTTGCCCGACCCGGAAAGTCCAACCTCAAGAGGCCTAAAGTTTGGCCTCATTTGGCCTAAAGCCCAAACTTCGAGATCGACTCCGTTTCCTCAAGCCTAATGATTTATAAAGACTGATGCAAGACCTCAACAGTACGAAAGAACACAGCAAGAACCAACCCTGAGGATGCAAGCACATGCAAGCTGTCCTTGCGCCCTGTCTGCTCACCGGCCTGCAGCAGTAACTTGGCGACCTCCTGCAGGCTGGACAAAGGGAGAGGCCCACCTGGTTTCCGAACGGGCGGGGGGGCGGGGTGTAGAATAAGGGCCGCTGCAAGATGTACTTACATTGCAGGGATCCAGCAGGCTCCGTGCTGATGCATGAAGAACCATGTCCGATTGTCCTGTCAGGCCTAAGGGGTGTGAGTTTGACCCGTTTTGTTTGGGACATCTACATCTACGGACAGGTCCAACTCCTCGTGACCATGCTTTGCCGCCCACATCCTCAGCAAACGAGCACGCTCATGATCCCCAGCACGCAGCTGTGCAAGGTTTTTGGGGGAACCCCATGCAATACAAGATCCTTCCTACAAGAATTTCGTCTCGAGCCTTGTGGATATATGTACTGGGGAGATGCCGAGCCTCCCCGCAGGAGCCCCGGCCAGACTATTGGTTTGAAGATGCCGGGAGCTCAGCTTTGGTTTCGATGTGTGTTGATAGCGTGCATTTCTGAGCCCACAAGGTGCAGTTTATGGGTATGGTGTGTGGAGTGCGTTTGCGCTTTCGGTCTGGGTTCAATTCGTAGAAAGCATAGGTGGATGATTAGGCGCCAGGGCTTTGTGCTGGTGGTCAGCTACGTAGTTCCATCAGGGTCAGACTCTCAGACGATGCTAGCAAGCGACCGCATGACTACGTTAGACATGCTTGTCCGCAGTGAAACAGGATGGGCATTGGGCTGAGACGGCTTAAAGCGCAGAAGCATGAGTGGGGCAACACAACTTGACCTCATGTGCTTCCTTTGCATTTTTCTCTCACAACTTCACACCCTCAACCACTAACCACTGTTAGGTTCGAAGGGCTTGGGGTGTACATGAAAGACTATCTCTCGGGCAGGATGTTTTCCTAACTCCTTAACCCCAGACAGAGCCCAGTCGCAATGCCGTCATCCCCTTCTCGTCCCGCACGAAGATATCACAGCCGGCCTGTCCCCGATCATGAAGCCCACTTTATGTGACAACGGTGTTGACATGAGAGCCCGCGTGGGTGTCCTGGATGAGCAGTGAGGCCACTTCCTCGCAACCCGTGATGGCTGCCCAGATCAAAGGCGTCCACCCATTCCTTTGGTTTGTGGGTCAGGAGTCAACCTTTTTTGGCTCTAAGGTTGCTAAGGTATGCTAGGGTCTGGTATGGTATATACGGCTGCCGACTCGTAGTCTTGCATCACTGGGAGCTGACAAAAAACCATCTTCTTAACAGCGTCACTTACATGCCCTCTTTCGTGATTTGGAAACAGCAGGCTGTTGCTGCAGTGGCGGCTCATGTTGCCAGACTAAGTTAAGGCTTTCTCGACATTCAAAAGGCCCCCTTCTACACGCAGCAAAGTAAATGGTGCTTGTGCAGCGTACAAGTGGTCTTGGAACGCAAGCTGATGGACGCAACCCTTCAAAGAGCAACATGCCTTCCAGAGAGATCCAAAGCTCTTGTTCCTGCCATTCATGTTCACCTGCATGAGCTGCAGACCAACGTCGAAATTGACATCCCAAGAGGAAACCGCCAAGTCACTAAGTCTTCAGTTGGGGCTCCAAGTTTTTGCACTTGTGGCGTGTTCAGGTTTCAGACTTCAGAATTAGGGGATCTCGCTTTGGTGTCAGGTGCCCGCGACTGGGATAACTGGAAAGCTCCGGGGGCTAAGAGGCCGATGCGTTCGATGCTCACACTCGCACAAGGCAGGCAAGGATTCAATGTCCTTCAAGTTACCACTTTGGGTCGTGCGTGAGACACCATTTCAAAGCCTCTCCAGTAGTGCCCGTTCCACAAGGATCTTGAAGGCTTTTTTTGGCTATTCCTCCCAACCCGTGGATTGTTTCGGGGCAGGCAAAGGGGTTGGTCCGCGTGTGGAGGGCACGGATGGTGGTCACAGGCAAGTGACCTAGCTTCCCATTTCGACCCCGCAGCACTCCCACGGGCCTGCTTCTGGGAGAGGAGGAACCTCACGACCTGGCACGACAGAGGGCTTGGGGAGGCTGTCGTTGTGAACGGGTTTGGGGCCTTAAAGACAAGTGGCTCCAAGAGTTCAGGTTTCTGAATGCCAAAGACTATGCTTGTGCTAGATGTCCCTTAAGTTCAGCCAGTGCTGCTGGTCGGGATTACCCTGTATTGTATTGTGGGATGGCAAGGTTTTTGAGCACACGAATTCAACTTGAGCTATCTTCCAGCCTTGAAAAAACCTGTAGCGAAAATATGAAGCTGAGAGATTTCGGGCCCTGAGGATTTAGCTTTCGGATCAAAAGCCACAGCCCATGGCCGCCGCTGCCTCTAGTCGTATGCTTGGTGCATTTCAGCCTCCAATAGAAGAGCAGAACGTAGACTAGACCAGCAAGCGTCCAACCCTGGGGCCATGAAACACCACGACCTCCCAACAAAGGTCTATGTACAAACTGAAGCTGGCACGTCCTATGCACGGCAAGCTGTGCGGTCCCCGTACTCAATGGACCAGGCCGAATCGATTGTCGAGACGACCCGAGAAAACAACTTATTTCGAGTCAGGGCCTCGAAATGACCACTGCGCGCAGCAACATGCAGAAGGGAGTTGCCCGCGGCGCAGCGAACGCTAAGGCCCGCCCCGCGGGAGAATCTCTTGAGATCCGTGACGTCACCTGGGACTGCTACTCCACCCTTGGCTAGCATGGTCCTCAAGTACAGGTGTACCTTCTATAGCGCACATTAGAGAAGGCACCTTGGACACCTTAAGGGTGACGAAGAAAAACCCACTAAACTGATTTTCAACGACGTTCTTCCGAAGCCCCGCCGAATCGGATCAATCATACGTGCTCTCCCAGAACCTTCGGTTCAATGCCAGGCGGCCCTTGCTGCACGCCTCATGTGCCGCACTCCAGCCGAACTCGTGCCCGCGTGGTTTGCCATCGTCGCCCGTCTCGCTGTCGAAGTCGAAGCCGAAGTTGCCCTTCAACGAGTTCCTCGGGCCACCCCTGCGCGACTGTTAACTCTACACTGTGTAAACATCCGATAGCCCAGACTGGTTTAGAGTCGGGCCTGACACAAAAGGCCTAAACTGCAACCCTGTCGAAGCCTGGGGAACAACATGCGATTCTGAGTTTCAACAGGGAATTTCAAATTCGTGTGCTAAGGTTGAGACTTTCTCTTGCGGAGATTCGAAGAGGAACTTCCCTGAGGCTTGCTATAGGTTTCCAAGCAGCTTCGAGATGTTACAGTCACTACTAGTGCAGCCATTCTGAGATGCAATCAAGAAGATTACACTATGATTGGTGCCTGAGGGGCACAGCCGAGGACAACGAAACCTAACCTGGATTGCTGCCAATATGGATTGGACACAGCCTGGACACACCGAACACCACTACCCCCGCCGCCACTACCACCACTACCACCACCACACTCCACCACACACCAACACCATAAACACTACCACAGAGCACCACATTCCACACTCCACCACCAATACCACAAGCACTCACGGAGACCGCGATCGACCCAGATCCGCGGAGCTCACACAGACTGCATCTATAACGAAGCGACCGCGCATCTATCGCCACAAGCCTCCACCTGTTTTCAAGGCTTAAAAGGCACTTAAAAAGAATTACTTTATAGATTCGATGAATGGCGAGCCTTCAAATCATTTGATTCAAGACCCCCCCCCCCCTCCCCATTTTCCTCGATATTATCAAGAAAATCGCGACTCCGACAGAGTTGACAGGTTCCCCTGCTAAAGAAGAGAGTAACTAAAGCCTAGTTCCGCTAGCTTTCGTGAATATTCGTATGCTTATCATTGTTCATTCTTGTTGTTCTCGAGGGTTATCCATTCAGTTCTGCGGGCTCAGGCTACCAAAGCCGCGTGTCGGTGACGGTCGCAGGTCCTGGGAGTCGCCCTCGCCCCAAGCCTCGCGATCTAGCGGGTCATGCAAATGTCTTGTTCACAGGAACCCCTGCACGCTTGAAGGGACACCTTGCCGACTTAAGCACAGGTCTTGCAGGATATTTGTGAAGGGCGGCGCAGGAGTTGCGAGTAGTGCTTCGGGCCTTTCATCTCGAATTCTGACCGAAGCCCCGGTTTTCGGCCACCTACTGTGCCCTGCCAGAAAACGACTCAGGACTTAAACACAGAGGTTGCCGGCTCGTGTGAAGGGCGGCTGTGCAGGATCTGCAAGCAGCGCTCATCTTGAGTTCCGACCAAGCCCCCTTTTCGGTCAACCTACTGTACCTCGCCCGAAAACCATGAAACCCGGGCAACAGGACCTCTGACACCTTGCAAAAGCCGTCGCCAGGTACACCCCATCTCAAAACCCCTAGTGGAGCAGACTTGCCAGCCTGGAGCGTCTTGGTGGTCAGTTTGCTGCCGCTGCGCCGGAGTGGTGTGGACTGGATCCCACGTCTCCCAGAGCCGCCAGAACTTCCCTTCCTAGGCAAATCACGCTTTGTTGTGGTGTTCCCACACACAAAAACCACCCTCAACGGGATATTATGGATAGACCTTTCGCAAACAATCATGCCCAATACCCAAGGCCCCAACATATGCACGTTGGCGCTATGCCGTGACATGGCCAACCGATCCATGACATTCTGTGTTCAGTGTGGAGGATGCCACACCAACGCCAACTACACGCGGCAGGAATCTAGGGATCAGTGGAAGCATGCAGTGGTACGCAATGCGCGATCTGCACGAACAGCATACTGAAACAACCCACGTTCACATGGCAAAATTGCTAAGGCCTCCGGTGTAAAGTTGCACTCGCCTTTGTATCGCAAACCGATGATAACTTTAGTTTTTCGGGATTACTCATTTACACAAGGATCACTCAATGTAGCTATTTCGGGTGGACTTGTGTGTGAACTAACACGGCTGATGGGCTCAAGCGTTAAAGGCCGTTACCGCAAACAAGGAAGTCAAGAGCATCTAAATTGTTTTGGTTCCTTACGAAGCAAGGCCCCAAATAACTTTGTGACGCAGTCCTGGACTCGGTTTAGTAAGTCTGTTTTAGGCCGAAGAAAGCCAGGAGGTAGGAGGACATCAAACAATTACAACCGTGATTTTACACAGAAACACCCAGACACAAACCGCAAATTTCGTCTCAGTCGTGGGAAAAGTATAGTGACATGGAAAACCTTGAACTTTCCAAGCCAGAACGGTTCAGGTGCAATCGGAACAGCGCAGGAAAACACGTCATTTGGACATGCAGAGGCAGGACTTGGCTTCGTGAAGTTCGAATGGGCCCGAGGAAGCCGGTCTGCTCCAATGCGAACTGGATGCACTGGCAACATGGACGTTATCATCGATAATGTTAGCACTCGGGCATGGACGCCCTAGGCACTGGTGCGGGTCACTCTTCTCAGACAAATGTCGTGGATATCTGGCAAAGCGCGTTTTGCCGGACTTCGGACCTGTAAACGACAGCAGCGATCGACAAGAAGCTTGAAGCCTGCGGCTGATGGCAAGACCTGTCCATTGTCTGCACAAACTTATGGCCTGATGGCGATTTGCACGTTCTTGAGTGAGTGAGTGAGTGTGTGTGTGTGTGTGCGTGTGAGTGAGTGAGTGACGTGACATGTCTAGTGTACTGTCAAGACATCAGCTCCATGCATACTTAGACTGATATCCTTGATCTGATATGCATTTGGGCCATTTGACACCATGCATGTATTCCACAAGCGCTGGAGTTAGAGGGGACCTAGGGCCTTGCAGAGGGTGAACTGTCTGGCCTCCTCGTTGTTAGCCATGCGAATGCCTTGGTGCCATCCGAGATCTATCGAGATCTCCTTAGACCTGCGAACGCCAGAAGCACCTGCCTGCCACCGCCGGGACGTAGCAGTCGACACAGGCCTCAATGTTGACAACTACCCCTCAGCGTTCTTGGCCGACATGGCCAGGACCTTTAGTAGCGGTGAGTTACTTGTCATCTCCCATCGCGGTGGACCCAATGTCCGACTGGCTATCATTTTCAATGCCAAGAGCCAAGAGCTCCTCCTTTCCGAACCTTTCTTGGTTTCATTCTCGCCGCACAGAGGCACGCTTGCGTAGAATTGTTGCTTCCTGGCCTGTCATGCCAGCTCACCAAGAACCCATGAGCTTGTTCCCTCACCCGAAACCCTCACACCGCTAAGCCATGAAACCCTACATAAGCTATAAACCATTATAAACCACCTAAGCCAAAACAAACCTGGAAACCAACTAGCCCTTCAAACCCGAAAAGCGGGAAACGCGACAACAAGCGAAACGCCCAGCGTCGATGCCGAAGAGGCTGCCGAGGCTGGTCGCAGGGATGCGGGTGAAGGCCGCTGCAAGGAGGCGGGGCTGCTGGGCCTCCCCACCGGCCTGGGAGTTTAGGGCTTTCAGGGGGTTGCATCTTTAGGGGTTGGGAGGCTTCGCAAAGTTGGGAGGGTTGGGGGGAGGGAAGGGGGGTTGGGAGGGGGGTTGGGAGCTTAGGGAGTTCAGTTCGTACCTTAGTGGGTTTAGGGGGTTTGGAGTTTAGAGGTCTATGACCTTCGGCGTTTAGATGCTCACGCTCGCAGGTTTTTTGTTCTTGCTTTGGGGTTTGGTAGTTTCGTGGCTTTGTCAGGTCTGCAATGGGGATTCTTGAACGATTTTGGGGCTTCGCAGCGGGTTCTTGTTGAGAAATCCTATAAACATCCGTTACCAAAGCACGGCGTCAGCTTGAACAGCCTGCGGCCCACCCTGAAGATCCCGAAGTCCTAGCTTACCAGGGAAGCCGATGTCTTCGAAGACACTCGGGTGCTCTATGCGAATCCTAAGAACAGCTTGTCCATGCCGTCTCCCTTCTTGAGCATCATGAAACCAACAAATCTAAATGCACGCCAAAGTCCACCAAAGAGTCCCCAGTGTCAAGCGCAAGACTGCAAGCCAAGCCCCCAGAAGCCCCAGAAGCTTCAAACAAAAAGCCATGAGCCGAGACCATCAAAAGCAAAAGCTGGAGAGCCAGAAATTCGAACCTGGGGCCTGGACCAGGATTGGGCGCTGGGCGAGGTCAGGCGCATCGCCCTGCGTTGGGGCCATGGGTGTTGAGGAGTCAGTGTGTCAGAACTGCTCCGAACTGCTCATATTCGTGTACATCTGAAAGCACACTGTGCCAAAACATGCCTAAAACCTTGAGCTCGACAAAACCCCAGTTCTAGGCATGCTCCCAACAACACGGCCTTGACTTGCCCGGCGGGGCTTTCAAGGGTTGGTCATGGGACCATGCTGGCACCCCCCTACTTTGGCTCAAGGGAGGTTCTGATCGAAAGCTTGGCTCCCGCTTCTTAAAGTGGAGGGCCTGGCTGGTGGGAATTTTGAATTTGGGGTTGGTTGGCTCGGGAGCGTCACAAGGTGGGCGTCAGGGCTTCGAGTTGCTGGTGTGCTAGAACTAGTTCTGATTCTGAAAAAAGGCACAGCGACGTTGGCTGCGCCTCTATGCGAAGGTCTCTGCCCGTCTCTCACGACATGGGTCAGATGCAGGTACCTATGCTTCGAATGCGACGCACAGTTGGGTTTTGTAGCGCTTTGCCGGGTTGTTGCTTTGCGCACTGAACCGCTGCCGATGATGCCAGCCGTCCCACAAAGCTACGGTATCCGAATCCGGAGATGACGCTTTGCCCGCTGGATGGTGTCATGTGCGTTGCGTTTGTTTTCAACCTGAAAGGACAGGGATTTAAGAATTGCACACTCTCTGGCGAGCGGTGCTCCAATTTGTCTTCTGTTTGGGGGGGGGGGGGGGGTTGCGTTCCTCAAGCGCAGAGACCTTCGCTCATGCAGGCGCGGCAGGTACCGCCATGAATTGAAAGTTGCACCGAACTGGTTTGAGCACGCGCAGAGCTTAGGGTTTTAGCAGAGCGGAACTCAGCCCACTGCATGCCGATCGAAGTCCTGCCCCCCCTATCGCCTCGTAGTAGAACAAAGCTGCATGTTGAATATCCACTGCTACAAGGGCTGAGGGGTGTTTGACGCCGCCACAAGAGAACCGTGCGGAGATGTGCAGTCCTTCAATTCCTATATACTCAATCAAGTCAGCAGTCTCCTCTCGCGGATGGCCTCTAGATTCTAGATCGTCAACTGTTGAATGAAGCAGCCGGGGTCCAAGCACTTGCTTATTTTCAACCCGAAACCAAAAAACCCTAGGACCCTAAACCTGCAGCAGAGGTCCCGCACAAAATGGCATTGCAGCCTGCTTTTTGGTGGACGCGCAGGGGCTCGGGTGGAACAAACACGGTGCAGTCTCACACCTTGCTACCTTAGTATTCGGGTTTAGGGTGTCTCAGGCCAAACCTTGCAAACCGAAAGCCGCAGACTGCCACGTGTTGCATGGAAGCTTCTCCAATTGAGCTTTCTTCCGTCTAACTTCCCGCGGGCTCTGGTATGCTCATTGGACCTATGGTGAGGTGCAGGGGAAGCCAGAGTCAGAGAATGCCCAGGAGCTGGACCGGCTACAATAAGGTTGCAGCACGCCTGCTGAAGGGGTCCAACTCGAATTGCGGGGATCGGAAAATGGAGCCGCGAATAGGCCGCTAAAATGCGGAGGCTCAGCGGGAAGGAGCGCACCTCTTAGCTCACTGCAACCAGGTGTGCTTCTCAAGCTGGGGGCTGATGAATGCACATAACGTGGAAGTCCCCGTGTTCCCCGCTCCAACGTCCGCGCCCGAACCCCTGCAAATAAGATTGTGAAACTGGCCCCGTCTTGCACTGCCTGATTTCGCCAAGCAGGTCTGCTGGCAAGTTTGCTAGGCCATGACAGTGCTCTAACAATATGCAATCATAGGGCGCTGCTTGCAAAAGTGGAGCTTGCAAGGCTTGCAGTGGAGTCGGCAGTGGCGTCTCTCACTGGTCGCTTGACCGTCTAGCGCAGTCGTCCACTCAAGCTCCGATATATCCTGGCGAGCCCTCAGGCTTTGAGCACGTCACTTCGGAACCCTAACCCGAAAATGTGGAAGGAGCCCTTCTCTACGAGTATTGGGCGGACAGGGAGTATGGCGGAGTTTTCGGAGGTAGCAGGAGGTCTTGCAACTGAAGCCCGTTGCGAGTATCAGCCTACGCAGTTGCAAGTTGCAAGAACCGCAGGCCCGTGGGTGCCTGAGCCTGAACCTGCCTCAACAAGCTTCTGGACGAGATCCCTCCCTAACTTTAGTGCAACACTCCTGTCCTCTGCAGGCCTCCGGCACAACATTCGTTGGAACCTGGAGTCTTTTAAGGCAGGGAAGGACGGGATCCAAATTGGGACCCAAATTGCAAGATCTTTGTGGCTCTGCTGGCTCTGCCCTCAATCCTGAAGCCTTGATGGGAGCTTCATCAGGTGCAGGCTCTGTAGTGCTTCGAGTTACTACGCTTTTTGCAGCGGAGCTCCGAGCTCCCAGGCCCTCCTGTTCTGCAAGTGAGTGCTGCTCTTGTGCCGAATGCCCAGGACGAAAGCTTCACTCGCCATCCCCACGCTGAACGTGCCTCGTGCTGGTTGCACTGTCGCGGCTAGCAGCTCTGCAGCCGGCTCTTCAGGTTCTTCAGGCGACACCTCCAGGTTCTTCGAATTGTCGGCCGAGTTTTCGGTCCGCTCGGCGGAGTCCTGCCAAAGGGGCTGAGACGTCATGGCCTTGCGAATTTTATCGCGAAGGGTGCAGACATCATGGAGCAGGCACAAGGGAATGAAAGTTGGCAGATGCATCGGTCCGTAAACTCGAGATTCTGAGCGCACTGGTGCATGATCAACTCTCTCTTCCAACTATCCCTCAACGGCGGCATCCTAAATATCTTTGCAGGCCTCTCGGCCGACTTGAAAGCTGGATGTACCCAGCCTCCGCAATCATATGATGGGACTGGACCGTATATCAGTATCATCCGCGTTGCTCCCTTAACCCTAAACCCATCAGTATCAGCAACAGATGTAAAGAGTTACTGGGTTCAGGGAGGTTGGAGGACAAATGGGCTGAGAAGTGTTCTGAATGGAAGGAGGCCACCCTTCTGCATCTGAGCTTGCATGGACAGCACATGTCGCGCGCCAACCCCTCTGCCCAGGCTCTGGCAAGGACGTCAAGCTGTTTCCGAAGCGCTTCGGAGACATCCTGCAGGTTTCTTGGTTGCGGTTCGGGGGGCTGCAAGTCCGAAGGTTCAGAGCACTAATGTTCGACCCTGATATGGCAAACGCTTCTAGAAAAGCAAGAGAGTTGTGTTCAGGATGCATTGGGTTCAGGTTCCGGTCTGAAGCTCAAAAACCTTTCAAGTCGTCCTTCTATCACACGATCAGGGTTGTCGAATGCGCAGGCTAAGAATCGAGCACGTAGTGGCGTTACTGGCTAAACCGATTGCTCACTCAAATATATGACTAGAACACATGACCGGTGCCTAGATCCCTCGAGAAAGATTTAAGTAAACGGCCCGGACACTGTAGTTTTTGTGGGCCTTTAACTTGGATTTTGCGAAGCTGTTCATAGACTACGATTGACATTGTCAACTCAACCGAGCTGTGGCCGTGAAGCAAGGGCCCGACCATCCGGGGTTCCAACACCAAAGCTTTCCCCCACGTGCTCGAAACATGTGTACATTCTTTGCGTTACCGAGTTGGCTTACATCAACATGCATTGCGTGCCAAGACATCGTATGGCAAGACAGTGTGTTAACGACTATACAACACTATATGTAACAAATGCATAAAGAACAAAATCGACCGCTCATCCGTGCACCCGTCCGTGCGTCCTAGTAGGCCAAGGCCTAATGTGCTGAATCCACCCATCTAGGCGTGCGGCTCGTTGTGTCTGGCCGAGGACTCTCGCATGAGTGTCAGCCACCTCCAGCGCCCGCTGAAGTGTCCATGCACATATCTAGATGTTTGCTTTGCATGGTGGTGAGGCGAAAGACCAGGGGTATAGAGTTCGGAAGCAAGCTTAGTGCCAACACCGCCCCGAGTGTACAAGCCGGGCCACTCATCGAAGTTGATACCTCAGTTGTCAAGGTCAAACGGCTCCAACTCCCTGTGACCAAGTCTTGTTCTAGAGGAGCCGATGCGGCAATCCGAAAAAACCCAAGCCCATCCCACCCGACCGACCCAGGAGCCCGGAAAAATCTTCCGTCTTCGCAAGTCCGTACAAAACCAGCAACCAACACTGAAACACTTAACTTTCTAGTCTAGACTCTACCCCACGACAAGCCCTTGCAAAACACCTGGCAGGTTAGTTGCATAAGGGGCAGACAACACATACTTGGCAAGCCCCACAAAGCCATTCTCAGAAAACAGGCGAGAATATGTGTTACAAGACCCTGGAAAGGTCCGCGAGGACACATGTCATATTTGCAGAGGTGATGCTATCGGAGCCGCTCCCAAAAAGTTGTACCACTTCCTCGGCAACCTGAGCAACAGGCTTTGGCTTGGCAAAGATGCCGCCCATGTGTGTTCAGAGTGCGCAGAGATGATTTCAAACCTGAACCACTTTCAAGCACACTGTTTGGAGGGAAAATGTTCGCAGTGGTACGAGCTGCACAGACTACGCGGATGGTGGCTTGATCTCACAGATCGTGCGTTTGGGCTCTATTTGTCGGTCGCAAACGTGCACAGGCACAGTTTTTTGTTGGCACTGTGTCGTGTTCCAGCATTGCAGAAACTCGGAGCCCGGACAAAGGATGCTCAAGGGCATTTGGGCTTCTGGGCGTTGTTTCTGATGATTTTTGTTACCTCAGGTGGAGCTTTGGGTTGTCGAAGGAGCTGCGTAAGGACGACGCGGGACGCTCGACTCAATTCTTGGGCCCTGAACTCAAAGCAGCAGTCGGGTCGCAGGCTCTAGTAAATTTCTAGTCTCCAGCATGCCCCCGCGTCCCCACCAAACACAAACAGTTGGTGGCAGTGACAAGTGACAAGCGAACTTCCTTCACCCCACCAAGAGGCAGGACATCCAGGGCAAAAGGCTCCAGCATTTTGGGAGCAGCGAGATCCGAGCGCAACGTAGTGCAGCTTTGGTTGGGAGCTTTTTTGTGTCCAATTGTTTCCTTGGCCTCGAGCTCAGATCCTCAAACCCTGAAATGTCAGTCCCGAACGCACCCCCTAAGCTTTGGACACTCAGAAACACATGTCATAGTCAAAAGCGACCAAAAGCCTTTGGATGCCTATGGCCCTCAGCGCGAGCTTCTTGGCCCCTAAGTCTATGTAAGTTCCAGACCTCCTCACAAACGCTGGACGTCCAGACCTCCAAAGCGTGAGTTCACAAACCGCAAGCATCCGCGAGCTTTAGGGGCTGGCGTGGCTGCAGGCTTCTTGCTCGAGGCTTAACAAGACCCGAATGCTTTGAAGCCGAAGTCCTCCAACCCAGAACTCGTTCTGGCATTGCTTTTGTTCTGCAAGGCCCGAAAAGCGGGTTGACGAATACAGTTCTTCGGCTGCTGAGCTTTGCCTCCACTCGAAATCACTGAAAGCAAAGGGGCCTGTGTGATGTCGGCCCTTTGTAGCACTTGCCGAAGCTCCTGGGGTTTGCCAATCAGGGATTATCACGGATTCGAAGCAGACTTAAAGGCTACAAAATGTCTGCTTGTAAACCTAAGCCGACTGTGAGGGCACTTGTTATTGCAGGGCTACGAATTTTCAAATCTCCAAACAGGCAAGTTTCGTTTCAGCATTCATTGTCGTGGACTCGGAGAGCTCGGGGACTTGCCCAGTGCAAGAGGAACAAAGCAAACGTAAACTCACAGAAGCCCTCTCGTTATGCATGCCTAGGGGCTTCAGGGTTGTTCCGTAGGAATGAACCTTCCCCTCCAGCCCATTCCCGAAGTGCTTGTGGCTTGAGCTGTTTTGGGATTGTCCTTCCTATTTGGCCTGGTTTGTCAGGTTTGTCCACCGTCCTCATGGCCGTTTGCTCTCTCAGGTGGCCCTTCCTACTTTTCTGAGGTTTCTGTCAGGAGACGACTTGCATTACTTTTTCTTTTATCTCTGTAACTCTTTGCTAGTACGATTTGGAAGATGAGCGATGCTCAGGAATGTCACCCTGGCCAAGAGGAAAACTCTGCGCAAGGTCCTTGCTGTCTGGGTTCTTACCCGCTTCGTTACGACACCTCATTCGGTGGCCAAGGGCGAAACCAGGCAACACCTCCGGACAGCTGCTGTAGGTCCCTGGCTACAGCGTCACTTAAACCAACCGATTCTTCTTGCAGGGGTGTGGGGCACGCATCCCGGCGCTCAATGCGCGCTGCCCTGTATGATGAGCCCAGAGAGTCTCTAAGAGCTGCAATCCTCCTTGGAGATCTGCCCATCATCGTGGATGTCGAAAGTCTTGAACGCCGACCAAAGCACCTTGGTCTCGAAGCTGAACTTGAGAAACCGATATGGATCTCTTATGGGTTGAAGGGTTCAGTGGACTGCAATGAACGGTAGAAGGCCTCCGATTTTAGTAATGCCCTACAAAAATACATATTCTGCATGTGAGACGTAAATCTTTTATAGCAAGGATCCTCAACAAGGAAGACCCCTTACGCACATGCCAGCATCCATAAAGGAACCCCTACATACACTCACCAAAGACGGTACCAGATTGATATGTAATGTAACTGTATAACTTTGTTTACCCGGTATGAGACTACGAGTAGTGAAAACAAGCCTGAGGTTTGACCCAGCAGCGAACAGTTCGAGGGTGCCAGATCTGGATTCTTACACTTATCGGACCTGGGGCCCGCCCTTGCTTGCTTGTGCCAGTGCCAGCGACATACTCTACAAGAGCTCAGAAACACATCATATTGATTTACCAACCAGTGTACCTCGGAACTGCACCGTAGACAGCCAGGTTCACAACCTCCAGACCTTCATGCAGGTCGTTTATGTTTCTGTAGCGATTACTGTAAGACGTTCCCGAAGTGTGAAGGCGAAGCGCATGCTCGTCTTGGTAGCCATCCTCGCCAAGTCCTCTCAGATTCATTGAGAAACTCTGGTAGCAAGCTGCCCCCAAAGCTCAACTCAACATGTTTCATGCTTCACCTCATTCCTCCACAATGTCTGCACTCACGCCCCCCGACCATCCCGATTCCCTCAATACCCAACTGACTCGGACCGACTCGGGCTGCACCAACACATGCAAGAACAGGACCCTAACCTAACCCACCGCGGAAGTTTGCCCGGTAAACTAGCGCGCCAGTGTGCAGCAGCTTCTTGGTGCAAACCCTGCAAGGCCTGCGGCGCAGAACTCAGTGAAGGTGATCCTGCAGCACAGGTGAATTGTATTCATTTCGGAGTGACCTAAGAATGCCTATGATGTCTGCACCTGGGAAGTTTGTGTCCAGAACCTTCACGGCTCGATCTCTTGGCATGGTTTCTTTTCGGCTCCACAGCAATCGGTTTCTGAACTTTGCATAGGTGAACACCACGGAACCCCACACTCCCGGTACCCCTACAGAGACAGCGGACCCAATTTTCTCCTTCCAGATCCGTCAAGGTCCAAGTAGGAGAAGATCTCCTGCACCTCTGCCTGTGGCAGGCTCGGGGCTCCCTCTTGTTTTCTCTAAGGGGCATAGCCGATGGCCCGCCAAATCCCGAGAGCTCTCATTGGGGGGGGGGGTCAGAATGTAGCAACATCTTGAGGCTTAGACCTAGGCGATTCAGACGCTCAAGCAACACCAATCGCTTTATCTTGGGGGCAGTTTGGGGTTTCTTTCTGGAACATGGGGTGGCTTGAGGCCTCGGAGACAGCTCCAGGATCGTCTGGGTGGAAGGCCGTGGCATAGCCTGCAATACGTGCATCCCAGGCCCAAGCTCTTGTTTCTACCATCCAACGACTATACATCCCTGAAGGGCGGGTTGCAGGAAGCGGCTTTGCAGTGTATCCTAAGCTTCCTCAAGGCCCGTGGATCCCACACGCAGTGCCTCGACACAGCTCCTCCATGTCCAGAATGCCATCACCTCAGGCACGCATTGCTTCCGGCTAAGGTCTGTTTCGGTGACATCTGGGTAGCTGGGGCAATTTGGATGTTGCCCGGTTGGACGGAGGGCATCGAAGCATGAACGTTTTAAATATGTGGCAAACAACGGCAACTATGGGTTTGCAAACTGTTGCAGTCACGAATGGGATTTTGCAATAGGGGCGACGGACGGCAAGCGCATGGCCACAGCTAGCTGCTAGCCCAAGCAGCACATCAGTTGCGGAAAGCTGCGCAGAGGCGAAGGGTGTGCACTGGGGCTCCGGGCAGTTTTGATCCAGCATGAAGAAAGCATCGCGAATGCCTGCATAAGAGGTTGTGGCCTATAGGCTCCAACAAAAAGGAGACTTCAATAGCACCACAGCCGGCACCCCAGCACCATCCAGCGCATCCCAGCACCCACTACTGCGAGGGCTGAATCCCTTAATCCCCTGATCCAACTACTCCTTCACTGCATGCCATCAAGGCTCTGCTCAGGCTGCGGTGATCTAGCTGCCGCGCTACCTCGGTGAGATCCGACTGCAGAGCCCGGACTTGACAGCCTGCTTGCATCCTGAACTCGTCATACGAAGGGCCATTTACATGCCGTAAAATCACGCGCAAGCCGAGAGAATATAGGTCCTTGTTTCAGCCTACAAACCAACAACAGCTCTGACCTTTCAAATTGCCGAGTGGCAGAAGCGACACAGAAGGAAAAGAAATCCGGCGCACGGCTAAACTGCTCCACGTTTGTGAGCACCTGGACTGAGGGCTCTCTCGCTCTCTCTCTCTCTCTCTCTCTCTATAATTCGCTCAAGACCTCTACATTGAGCTTATCCCTGTAGAATCTCATGCTGAGCTTCCATGGCCTGAGAATGCCTGAAGTCTACTCCATCTCCAGAATGCGTGAGGGGGCCCTGAACCGTTCTGAAGCATCCCACACGTAAACGCGCCTGCGTCAGAAGCCGGAAGTCCGGCTGCACTTTGTGTTGAGCCAGCCAGGGATGATGGAGCACCTTCGAGTGAAGTTGTGCTTCCATGTGCTTGTTCGAGGCGGTTTGTGATCTTATTATGCCATGACCCTCATTGTTTGACCCACCTGCCCTTAGTTCCCAGCCTCTCGAGATTAGAGCCTGTGCTATTGACTCAGGGAGCGTCAGGCGATGCCTTGGTAAGGGCCCAAGACTTCAAGACTTAGATCAATCCCCCTCTCTTCACTTCCTGTCTTGCTCCCAGCGGGGCTCGAAGGCTCTCCCATCCTGTCATTGGGGAACTCAGACCCAAGTGGAGAAGAACTTTGAAACCTTAGAGCCCGTGATTTCTGCCACCGGGTTACCCTGAAACCTGCATTCCAACACCCTGGCCTCCCTCCTCCCCCCCCCCCCCTAGCCCAACACCTCATTCCTAAACCATCACTCTGCAAACCTCCTGATAAGCAGTGTTAAGATGCCTCTCCTCCCTCTGCCTTACCAGGCCCTACCCTGCTGGCCTGGTCGGCGGTGAGCCGGGCCTGTCTACAGAACTAGGTGCTCGACTGTCCAGTGCCAGTTGGGGTACGATTTCGTCACTTGAGTGTTGAACATAGTCAAAGTACCGGTGCCCTGTGCTTCCATGAAAAACGCAGCAAGACATTGCAAAGCTGCAAGTTCCAAAAGCACAGTTCCGCGGAAATCCCCTCCAATGAGCCCATGACTTTGTATGGTAGCAACGTGCCTGGAATACCGTTGACTGTGGCCTATGGCCTATGGCCTATGGCCTATGGCCTATGGCCTATGGCCTATGGCCTATGGCCTATGGCCTATGGCCTATGGCCTATGGCGTTGTTCCATTTGGAGAGACATTCGCGCGCTGTGCAAGGGCTTGGCGGCTGAGCCTGCACGTCGACTTTCAGCAAGTGGCGGATGAGATCCTGCCAGCTTCGAGCTTTCTTGCGCGAAGTGATCTTCAGGCTGCGGGGCAGTTAAAGTGATCAAAACACTCGGGGATGCGTGAGGCGTGCGCCTACTTCTGCTCAATTGGCTTCAGCCTGTTTGCCTCCAATCGGCCTTGAAGCAACTTCTGTACACCATAGGACTTGTGGCGCGGGATAGCTGCGGCGAAACCTGCTAGTTTGTGCTCTCTTTCAAAGGTCCACAGGTTTTATGTGGTTTAAAAGGGAGGAGTTTATGCGAGTGTTGAAGCGACAGCCAGGCCCTGCAACTGATTTTTAAAGGCGCGCTGCATGAAAATGTCTTACGACACCCGCGCGACTTGACTTAATCGCGGACCCGTCGGACCGACGGACCCCCAAAGAATCACAGGTCACAGGGTGCTGAAGAGGCCGGCAAACTTGACTTTAAAGAGGGGGCCCCGATTTATGTGGGGCCACTGTCTGCCCTTTTCAGCTTGCAAGCTTGCAATTTTCAACAAAAGAAGAAGACAGAACCGCAGCAACAGCAGGGAAGAGAAGGATCTGCAAAGAAGAGTCCTTGGCAGCATCCGACACCGAGTCCCAGAACCTCGATGCTCCCCAGCTGGCAGGCTTTGGGTTGCAGATGGGTTCAGGTGCACAAGTGAGTTCTCGGTGTTCATGTGATGACATACCCTGATTCCGACCCTGAGACTCGCAGCCGAGTTTTGTAGATCTCTGAGAGACAGCGACATTTTTTGTGAGGAGTTTTTGCAGTCGCCTCAGAGGACTCGGAGTCCAAGAACCAAACGAGACGCGATGTCTGAGCACCCCGGCACCCCGGTCAGCGGGTAATACTCCGCTTTCATCCTCGCCAGCTGCTGCTTCGCACCTCAGATTAAAGGTGTGTCCCCTCGAAGGAACAGACCTTTAAACTGGGATCCCTGGTAGGGGTCCTCTCTGTGCAGGGTTTAAGGCAGATTCCCTAGTTGCTCTCAACTTGCCAATTCGGAGAAGTTCGGGGAACCCTTTGGGGGTTTGGGCAGGCTTGGGGGTTCTGGCGCGGCCTTGCCAGCCCTCGGAGCAACTGGAGTCAAACTCAAGCCATGGAGTGATGAGAAGATGTGGCCCATGGAGGTGCCTCTTTAGAAGTATGCGGATGAAGTTGCCCAGGGCTTCCGCATGCGATTAAGGTCGTACCAATTCTACCCTCTGAGCTTGCAGCTGCCCCAGAAGGGTGGCTTCCCGGACAAAGCGATGTAGGCTACCTTGAGCTGGCACGTAATCTGGGTTTGGGCGCCACGGAAGTATTCTCTACTTTGGGGAGTGGGACCTTTGGAACTTCCAACCCTTCTTCGACTCACATTTGGCACAGCTCTTCAGAGCGAGTAGTGCTGCCAGAGCAACTCGGGGATCGTGGAAACATCCGCAGATTCTAAGATAAATTAGGGCTAACTCGCCCCACAACAAAACCAAACAGAACCAACAGCCAACCCTTGTTGTGCTATTTGCAGGTCAGGGAACGATGCCGAGGCTCCATAGGTCGCAGGCCTTGGACTCTCTTAAGCCGCGAGAAGGATTTGAAAGTCAAGTGGGTAGGTTGGGGGTGTACATATGCAAAAGAGGGCATCATAATGACAAAGGCACTGAATCTGCGGGTCGGGAGTTTATGTTCATATTCCGGACTAGTCTATTTTTGAGCTTTTCGGCAACATCTGCACTTTTTATGACTTGATTTCGTCAACATGTCACTCTGTCACTGTGCTGCAAAGCACTTTGCTAATCGGAACTCAACATTAGGGCTGAGGAATTTTGACTTTCGGGGCTCAGGTGCTCCATCGTTTGGAGACTGAGGCAAGTGCACAGGTGTAGCCATCATCTTCGTCCTCCGGATCAAGGACCTGATCATGTTGGGCTGGGCTTCGTGCACACATCCAAGGCTTCGAGCAAGGGCCCTCCCCTTTTCCCCCAAAGCCTAGATAGGAGCCCCTGCGAGGCTACCCTGCCTCCGGCGCGGAGTAGGTGGAGGTGCCCACAGTGGACCTAGTGTTGAGGGGACTCCAGGTCTGCTGTTGTTTTGTCAAGTTGGATTCTGTTTTTTGGGTTAGGGACCCACTATCCTCACAGCAACGCCCGAAACCAATGCTTACGTTTGAAAATACCACAGTACTCTTACACCAAACCAACAAAGCGCAAACCCTATTACGCTCGACGGCGGAACAGTCGAGCGACTTCATCCTCCCTTGCTCGAAGCTGCCGGCAAGGCCCCAGTCGATAACCTGCGCCCCAGGGGGAGAGGGGGGGGAACATGGGGCAAAGAAGAGTACGGAGACACTAAGGGGCGACGGAGATCCTTGTGAGGTGCGGCTTTCGGGCTTTGGATACTTTGCCACCCGCCCAGGGGCCCAGCACAGCACTCGCACACGCAGCGGCCTTGGATTGTGTTCCTTGGAGTGGCACTCGCGATGTGCGGCCGTCGTCTTACACTGGAGTCTACGCTGGCATTGCATGTAGGCACTTTCTGCGCGCAAGTACTCCTCTCATAGCTAGCTAGTCTTGATCCCAGATCGTCAAACCGTTGAACGTCAGAAGCCGTCACAAGTTTACGCTCCAACTCTCCCGAGCTGGCCTTGACATGGGTGCTGTTCGGAGACTTCTCACAGAAGCAGATGTTCTCCAACTTCAGATCCTGGAATGTACAGTGCGGTGGAGGCACTGGCTTTTCGCAAAGCTGCTCAAGGGATTGTTAGGTCTCTTGTGCTGGTGTGGATTCTTAACAGCACCTTAGCAGCACCCGCAAATGCATTACTCCATTTGGGAGCCTGTACCTTGTGGAAAAGCTTAACTACCACCGAGAGAAAAACAGCTGCACGGAAAGACAGTAGGGCTTCGGCCACGCGGAATATGTGGCTCTGGCTTAGGAAACTCTCGGTGGCTTTACGGGATGCGGATCCAAGCCCATTCTATGAGCCGTGTTGCCTAAGTCCATGCTCTGAAGTCTCAGTTATCGAGCATCAAAGCCCTAAGCACCCTGTTCTCAAAGCATCTCTCAGCTGTCTCAGCTCCGGGCCCGATGCGCGATGCCCTTGGAATGGGCGTACTTCAACGCGCTGGTGACCTTTGAACTCTTGGGGAAGGCGTTTCATGGGGATTTGTGGCTTTGGGTAGGATTTTGTGGTGCCTGGGATTTTCAGGGTCTCGAGGGGTTTAGACGAAAGTCCTCAAAGCGATTCCCGAGAATTCGGCTTCGATTCACGGTTGAGCACTCGCGTAACCCAGTTGGTTGCATTGCGGTTAGCTGTTATGTTTTTGGCTGTGTGATAGGGGCAAAAAGGTTTTGAAGTGTTGCGCGAACCTGTTCAGCTCACTGTGTTGGTGTGCGAGTGTGGGGTGTGCGTTTTCTCATTCTGGGCTTGGTTGGAGTTGTGGGTTTACATGGCCGGAGTTTTGAGGAATGCGACAACAACTACGTCCCATACAAGCAGCACACGTGGGCCAAAGGTGCTAGCATGTTTGGCAGGTTCCCCTCTCGAACTTGCAAGCTAAGAAGGGCCTCTCACAACCAGCAGAGCGTAATTACTTGGAGCGTACCGCTGGCAATAATTGCAAGGACCAGTGCAGAGAAACCATGGCAGTCTCGATCGCGAGCCATGCTTCGAACATCACATGGCGTTCCGTCTGGTTTGGTTTTCTGCGCTCTGACAGTCACTCTCACACGGACAGCACCACAATTTCAGAATTGCTTGCGTCAGGAATGCACCACTTGGCTGGCCTGCTTGATGATTGGAGCCACAACCGTTTCTGGAAGTTGCCCATGATTCGAAAACCTGCAGGTTTGAAAAAAATCTTCTGCATCTTCAAGCTACCATATTCAAGGAGCATAAGGTAGGTCCAAAGCAAACCCATGGATGGGGAGCAAACTCGCTGAGAATGATGCTGCTTTTCGCTTAGGCCCGGCACCTCGACTCATTCCCAAAGGGCCCTGCTATTGAACCCTCACAAGGCCCTAAGCCGAAGACCGAAGACTCGTCTGAATCCGCCCGAAAAACCTCTGAAGCCTAATTGCTGCTTCTTCAGCCCTCACCACATCGTTGGGCACCTGTCGAAGAGGTCTCCGCCCTCGCAGAACTCAATCACAAAGTACATCACACGCCCCTGGCTTCAGAAATCTCAAGGCTTCGGGGAAGCCTTCTAAACGGTTTGGATCTTTCTGTTCCCCGGCCAAGCACTTCGTCCTGACCAAATCATGACAGAGCTCTGCCGAGATCAACAGGCTCAGATCCCACCCAAACCGGTAGGCTCATCAGGCTTGCCAGACCCTGCTGAGTCGCCCACTGCATAAACAAAGCAACCGGAGAGTAACGGAGTATGCTGCCGTGATGTCTTCAACACTGACCAGAACTTTGTTCCGATTTGTTCCGCCCAACCCTGGCTCCAGAAACCGGCAACCTACCCGTACTAGAACCGAAGCGACAGCAATCAACGGAGTCTTGCAGATTTGGCAGCGTTCCCAAGTATCAGGAGAAACAAACGACAGGAGCGGGCATTGCAGCATCCGGTCAACTTGAGTAGTCCTCGTCCTAGCTATCCTAACTCCGACGCTGGGAGTCGCCATCAATCAGCCGCCACATGCTTCTTCTGCTGTGAGGGGTATTCTCACAGTACTGAACCTACTGAAGCAGCAGCTTGCGGCGATCCACCCCAGAGCTGCCAGGGGCATAGGACATCTAGGACCTCCCTTCTGAGATTCTTCTAGGATGCGCTCCTCTAAACGGAAAGCAGCGAAGGCATCAGAGCCAAGCTACAAGAAGCGGCTCGAATCCCCAGCCATCCTCAACCGTCCCCAATTCCCAGCCCAGCCTGCTCATAAGTCTCAAAGAGGCGGCAGATGTTTGGGTGATCGAGACGTTTCATGATGGTAACCTCCAGATTGGTTGCGTGAAGGTGTGGGGGGGGGGGGGGGGGGGGGGGGCTGCTTCAAAACGGCCTCGGAGGCACAAGCTTCTGCAATGTCCAAATGTCAATTACTTGTTTTAAACCTCGCACCCTGCAAGCTTTGACTCACCACCGACGTCCATAACTCTTACGCAGGTACTCCACACATTGGGATGATGCCTGCCTCCTTCTTGAAGGCCGAATCCCGCTCATCATCGATCTTGATCACCTCGAACGTTTAGAGGCGTCTCCGGGAGGTTTATGTCCCTCTTCTGAGGTCGGGGTCCATCCAGGACTCATCCCCCCGTAACACAGCTGGATGGTGCTGTCCAGTTCTGGGCAAGAATGCTTAGCATGTGGAGCTGGCAGCTCATCATAGGTGCGCCTTCTTGATGGCCACTTGGCGGTCCTTGAACATGCGGTCCTTTGCCAAGAAGACCTTCCGGCTCGGCTTTCTTGCAGAGCTGTTCTGGTGGTTGGGGTTTTGCTGTTTTGGCAGAGTTAGTATGCTATTGAGGATCAGGACCTCCCACCCTCCGCAGCTCAAGGTGATGAATCCACGTCTAGAGTCCAGAGTCTAGCCTTCTGGCCACCATGGCGTTTTTTTATTGCCATGGTAGAGTTCTTCATACCCTAAGCAACCAAAAGAGACTGCATGAACCCAGAAACCGAGACGCTGCCTAAGTCAATACTTAAGGGTTCGGATGCTAAGGGGGCCGTGACGTGGCCACTTAGCGCATGAAAAAGTCGAACTTGCGAGCACTCACGCAATCCATTGCCGAGGCTTGTCTCTTCCTTGAATTCAGGAAGTACATCCTGCAAAGTGCAAGTGCGCCGCACTGACAAGCACCGAAACAACTCGTTCGATCACTCGTCTTCCTCCTACTACTACCCCAACCACGACGACGGCTGCTTCTACTAATCGCTGCTACTTGTGCTTCTGCTGCTATTCGTGCCTGTACAGCCACCAATGGTACTGCGCTGCTGATGCCACTGACAGTGCTACGGCTGCTACTACCTACCACTACAAATACTACTTATTACATAATCAAGAATTTCATTCTATCATGCCTTCCCGTATCCTCCGATGCCAATCTCACGCATGTCGATGTCGTACCTCCAGGTGGCTTTTGCTGGCTCTTGGTTGAAAAGAAGATTTTCAGGCACCGTAGGTTGCAAGATACTTGAGGCCCTTAGGGCCTTAGGAAACACATTGGAAAACACGCAAAACCGTCGCCGTGTCTGCTGCGGGCCCGTGTCTCGATTAAGAGCTCAGCTTACAATTTGCTTTTGAGGGGATCCCTCCTAAGGCATCTGGCAACACGATCTGTCCCAAAACGAAAGCCCTCCAACTAATTGCTGACCGTTAATTACACGGAAATAGCAAGCCAATATGTTTATCTGGGATACAATGGACACCATGCTGGTTTTGGAAACAAACCCTAGAACCCCAAACAACCACAGGCTTTGACGGCTCTAACTCCGGCGGGAACTACAAGAACGTTGAGCCCCGCAGATCTAGCCGCGACTGCCGTTCCATCACACACCTGCTTCGGGGGTTACAGCTTACGGCCCTTCAGGGGATCTTTGGGCCGGCCCTTTGCCTCTTGGAGATTTCAGCGTCCACGCGCTCGGACATCAACGATGCTGTGTCAAAGGAGACCCTGGCAGCTTAGCCTATGGTTACTATAGGTCTTCAAGTTGGACTTTGCTGGGACGGCGGACAGAAACGGGTAGCTTGGGTGTTAAGCGCTCGGGGTCGTCGTGGGCCATGGAGCCTTCAGTTCAAACGGGAGGCCCCATGCATAACAGGGCTCAGGGTCGGGTTCGGGAGCTTCAGTTTCCATCTTTCTCAATACTCAATCAAGCCGACACAATTCGACAAAGCACATGAGCCCTCCCTTACAAAACCACAAGTATTCACGCTGTCTTGAAATAATCCCTTCCCCCTTTTACCCCCTATGTATAAAAACACCTTCAGCAGCATTCTGCCGAATTCCGAATTAGGGGGTGGGTTGAGGGCTCCCAAAAGCCTCAAACCAACCAACATCCTGCTCTCTCTCTCTCTCTCTCTCTCCACACGCTAGGTCCCCCAGAGGGGAGCCGCAGCTCTCTCTCTCTCTCTCTCTCTCTGTTTGCACGCAAATTGATCAAGTAATTACTTAGACCCTCCAAAACCTGAAGCCTAGACCCTAAACCCTTTAGACCCCAAACGTGACATTTGGATAGAAACATACCCCTAATAATAAAAACACATTCGAATTTCTATTGGGGGGGGGGGGGGGGGGGCGGTTAACATTAGGGGGCACGGATTATACTCGACTGGAAAGGTATGATACTTGGGTGGGGTGGGCGGGATTATACACTCACCCCCGTTATCTACAGGACACTACTGGGCCCCAACCTATAACACCTAGAACCTTAGACCTGCGCTCCTCGCCTAGTTCCTTCCTCAAAGCCTCGGCGACGTTCGTTCAAGGACTTTGTGGACCTGACGACAAAAGGGGCTGAGGTTTCAGGGTTTGGGGGTTCAGCATCTTTCAGCCCGAGCACCAAACCCTCACCTAACGCCCCGAAACGTGCACATGTATCTCCAAGATGTCTAGATGCCTAAAATGAAATAATCTCTCTTGAACACCTCTACAAAGGTCTTTCACCTCATGGGACTACCTTGTCCGCGTACAAGTGGCCACAGCCAGCATTGGACCCTTGCCGACATGCCCGTACAAGCACGTGCAGACACTTTCTCGCGTGCACTGTTTTAAACTATATAACGGCCCTCTCCCAAAACGGCCTGATTTGGAAACACCCCCAACTGCCTCAATCCGAACTGTCGGTCGGCATCAGGTGTTCAATGCGGCCTCCGTCGTGGAACCGCAAACAACCCTCTCCCCTGCCCCCCCCCCACCCCCCGCTGGTGCAAGCTGCCAGATTCGCTTTGGAAGTGCCCCATGAAAGATGCGTCGGCGCTTATCATTCTGATCCGTGGCACTCTCTTTGATGTGTCTTCTTTTGACTTCCTGGCAGCCCAAACAACACAGTGCAGACCGAAGGTGTTGCACCGCTGGCTGACACTGCAAGCCTTGACTGCCACTCAAGGCTTCAGGGACTTCAGGGACCCCCAGCAACCCTATCCGCCCCCTCTCCGACTTACTGCGTCAGCATCCCAGTCGGTTATTCCCAACGTTTCCGAAGTGAAACGAGCAAACTTTTTCCTGGGATCTGCAGCCCGACAAGGGTTTCCAATCCAAAACATCTACCTGGTGGGTTCCTTGTTATATGTAGATTCCCCTTCTTTTCACTAAATGTAGGGGTGTTGGGCTCTCAGGGTACACTGCCGGGCACCCTTCCCCTGCCGGGCACCCTTCCCCTAAACCAAACCCCAAAACCCCAAAAGCCCAAATGAGCTTCTGGCTGCGCCCGGATGGCGTAGGGGCTTCCAGAGGCCGCAGGAGAGGGCTCCTCAGACCTCTGAAAGAGGGCTGTTTATGGTTGAGAAGGTTAGGATGTTAGGGACTGAATCAAGAGACGAGACGCGTAAGAGGGTGGAATAGGCCTGATTAGCGCTGGGTTTTTTAAGGCACATGGTTCCAAACCTGTCTTCAGAACGCGAGCCAAGTTGACTCGATAGCACCCGATCCCTGATCCTGAACCTTATACTCCCCCTGCAAAACACACAAACATACCGAGGCCTGTAAGCAGGCGGCGCCAGGGAATGCACAGGCGCGCTATGGCTGTGCAGGCCGGTCGACCTTGCATTCGGCTGGTGATTTCTGTGCTCTTTTGGGGTTTCGAAGCTTCTGAAATGGTCCCGGGACCTGGACTTTGCTCTGATAAAGCAAGCCGCTCGGATCCGGAGGATTGACGAGCATTGTGGGATTTTGGCACTCAGTCCGATGAGGAGCTTGAGTCACCGAAGCACTTCAGCTGGAGAAGCCTTATAGGCCTTAGGCCTGCATGGGCTGCTGCTGCTGCTGATGTTTTTGGGAGGGAATTCTGCAGGGACATGCAGGGGCAACTTGTCCGGCTGTGCTAGCAACGCGGCAACGCGCAGCATGTTGTCTTTAACATTCTCGGATGGCATCTGGGAGCTTAATGTTGCACCATGTTGCACACTCCTTCGTGTGTTCCACACGCGTTTGAACAGTCGAAGCTGATTTTGTCCCTCTTTGAACGGTCCGTGGGATTCTAAAAGGGATGAAAGGGACCGAGAGGCCCGCAAATTACTTTAAAGGCGCGCCGCGCAAAATATTCTTATGACGTCAGGAAGACTTGACGAAAAGCGAGGATCCCAGCGGGCACCCCCAAACAGTCACACATCCTGAACATCCCACCAAAACTTGACATTACTTTTCTAGAAGAACCCCACGAAACAGGGTGAAGCAATAAAGAGCCTGCAAGCTTCAGCCCACTGGTTTGACTTTGGTTTTCGGGGCTCATCGGGCTTCAGGCAGCGCCAAAGATGACAGCCACATTGGTCTCAACGGGTTATAAGCAAACCTGCGAGCAAACCTGCGTGCACTCTCCCAAGCCTTGGCTGGCTAGCGCAGGTAGTCTATGCTTGCTGTGAAATCCGACAGCTATAGCTATAGCAACGCTCAACATTCTACGCGCGGAAGCAGGTCTTCGGAGTTCAGCGCTATCGTAGGGTGTTGGATGCCGAGCGTTGGTCTCAGCAAGCTGGCAGGGACGATGCCATCCTACAACCCATAGAACCACAAACTAAGTCGTCTGCAAACATTCCCTCAGAACTGAGAACAGGGCGAGGCGCCACGCCCACCAGTGCTTGCACTGAGCATGTCCAACCTGCCTTCGGCCTCCCCATGGACGGGGATTTCGTGCGTGTAGGGTAGGTTGAAAGCTTTGGGACACTTCGAAGTTTCCGAGGCTCTCGGCTAAACTGCGGCAGGGTAGGGGTGCGCGAAGCGTGGTGTCTATCTCAGATCGATGTTTTCGCCTTTTCCAAGTGCCAAGAACTGAACATCGGGCACACAGGTGGCACAAAGGTGGCACAAAGTCCAACTGAAGAAGTCCCCAAGAAGAGGTCGCCATCGCCAACCAGGCATACTTCCGTGCAAGGGCTGAAGCCACTACTCTTCTTTGTAACAGGCCAAGTTGAACCCCTCATTCCCTGCTAATTACAAGGGCCAGTAAGGCTTCCATTGAAGGAGTTTCAGGTTGGCTTGAGGGTTTGTCCTGGGCTTCTCTCTTTGGATCCTGAGGTTGCGGGTGCACGTCCGGCCGGGGCAACCTTAAACTCCCCAGGCAACTGCACGTGGGACCGGTGAGACCAAGGTTGGATGACTCAATGCTGTACAGTCTATAGGAGAGGACTCCACGGTGCACGTGCTCCCACCCGCCACAAGAAAGACACCTAGAGGGATCATCCATCCGATCATATCCGATCCACAGCCCCGAAACCTGGCCTCAGCCAGCTCAGCATCATCGGCTACGTGCGCTGTCGATCCCATGGGCTTATAGTGCTTAGGGTGTAGGTTTAAGCTAGGAGTGAGTTTGGGGCTAAGGGCTGAAAAGGGCTTGGGGGAAATCCCAATGCTCTTGGTTGACTACAGGGCGCTGCTTACGTACGTCGAGTGTGTCCCTGAGGGCGTGACTACAGCCCCTGTACTACCGGGCCCCCAACAAGGCTCACCTAAGAACAGCCCTCAACTCCAGGTCCTTACATTACTGAAACCGGCCGAAAACGTTTCCTAAGGAGTTGTTGAGTTTGAGGTCCCTCAGGGCTTTCAGGGTGTTGGGGCCAATGCCCAGCACCAAAGAAACTTGAGATGCTAAAACCTGAACCTGGACTGAAAGCAACTTTGTCTGCAACAGCAACAACTACTGTGATATGAAACCCGTGTGGCCTAGAAGCACAGCTGCCGGAAATGGCTTCGAAGGCAGTGGAACTCAAAGAACAGATGCCACTTATAGGAATTGAACAACCTTGGGGGGGGAGGGAGATTGGAGTTTGGGCCTCGGTCCTGCGTGCGTGGGTGCCCACATTCCAGGCGTGTTTGGGCCCTACTTTGGAGGCTCCGCCTAAACATATCGCCAAGGCTTGCTGGTGTTGTAGTTGAGGATTCCGTAAAACATCCGCTTCGTCATTTCAGGGGTCCTGGCTCTGCTTCCCAGGTCGAAGCTGTTTTGTTTGTTTTTGGCATGTTTTAACCGTTGCTTCGCAACAACATCTCCTCAAAGCGCGGCTCGACTCACATCGGTGCAATTAGAAGCCACAGTCGGCAACGTGTTTCTGAGGGGCAATTTTGAGTCGTAATTACTGCTCATCCTCAGACTCATACTCCCCATACCCTGTGTTGCGAGTCAAACTCCACGGAAGCCAGCTTTGCTGAGCTTACAGCCATCGGGCAGTGTGGCGTCAGCCAGTCACTGCCCCGGCCAAGAACACGATAAAGGAAAGAACGAAACATAACCTTTCAGAGCACAGCTCCTTTTGGAATGTTGACAATTCTCGGGTACGTAGATCCCACATGCGTCAAAGCACGGGAAGCTGCTGCAATGAAGCTTCTGGCAGCATTGATAACACCTTCGGCGTTAGAATGTGCGAGGAAACAACCTGATGGTAAACTCGGCTAGGGCGCAATACACAGGCCACCCCCTCCCCACGTTTTTACTCGAACGCCTGCCTGCGCAATCCATGCTGGAGTTCCTATCCCGAACAAGTCTAAACTGAAATGGTTCCCCTCAACGACTTCTTCAACATCGAACTGAGCGGATCATGCCCCGCAAGAACCAAGTCGTACGGTGGAGCGCCGATGCCCTCGGGCGCCTCCCGGTGTGCTCAGCCCGGAAACCTTTTTAGTCCAAATGCCCAAAGTTCCTCTATAACCTAGAATTAACACGAATAATTCAATCCATGTGGCTTACAGTGAATCCACCCACAAGAAGGGTAAGGAGGTCCCAGTCAGGGGGGAGGAGCAGCAGAGGAGAAAAAATCTTTCAAGGAGGCAGCCTCATGCTTATCAACACTGCAGAGATTCAGAGATGACCCAACCAAAATCAGAAACAGGTGGCAAAACAGTCACATGTGCAACCATCAGCACCTTCAACGGCCATCTATCTTGGGTTCGAGAAGCCTGAAGCCTAAGCGGCCTAAGTCCTTGCTTCTGCCCTCAACACACACACACACACACACAACTTCAAGCGCTTGCTAGCCTCAGCTTGAAATGGAGCACGGTGCTTATTCTTCCAAGTCCAAAAAGCAATCCTTTCCGGGCCACATCATAGAAGCTGTTTGTCATCTGGGTGCCGAGAAGGTCCTGGCGAAAACTGTGGGTTTCACAGGCTTGGAGAACCCGTGAACCACTATTCCGAGTTCTGCGCTGCTTGTTCGCAGCTGCCATGTTTGGGCTGGGGGCTCAAAGCCACAAGAGTCTTGAAACTTGCACAAGGAAGGAAGTATCATCCGAAAGCCCTCTTCACAGCCACAGCCCGATACCAAAGAAGAAAACCTCAAGCCCGAACCCCACAACCGAATCCCTGAACTCCCGGAGCCTTCAAAAACCCTGGACCAACTCAACTCAAACACCTCTCTCACCCCGCCCCCCCCCCCCCCCCCCCCCCCACCCCGGCCACCCGCCCTGGCTTGAACCTGGAACCCTAAACCCAAAAACACTAAACCCCAAACCGTGAACCTTGAGCCCTAAGCCCTCAACCCTTAACTAACCCTCAACCCTACACCCTAAACCCAACCCTTATTGCTTGGTGTCCAGCGACTTGGGCGCTGCGGAATCACCATGCTCACACGGATGCGCTGGGCCGGGCCGAGGCGGGTCGCGCAGCGTTAAAATTAAGGAAGCCGTGAAGGAAGCCCTGAAAGCTTGGAAGAACTAGTCCGCAGGGAACTAAAGAAAGGAAATTCTTTGTGGAACAATTTTGGCAGGTTATGGGTTGGGGTGACTTTGTGCTTCACTGGCTGCTTCAGGCCTTCCCATAGATGATTTGCCTGGCGACGGGCTCCTCCGTGCGAAGGTCATGGTTGGGGACCTGTAGCAGGTCTAGCAGTCGTCAGATGTGGCGGAATTCCCATCCTTGCCCCGAAAGCTTTGAGTTTACAGTTGACTTCTTGGCTTGTGCACCTGCATAACAGATAGCGGCGTAGGATCCACGACGGACGCCTCTCCTCCTACTGACTCCTACATGCCCTGCGTGCTACGAGTGCTCATTGATGTAGGGCTTGCGCTACATGTGGGGGTTCGGACAGTCATGATCATGATCACAGCACACTTTTCCAAGGCAGGAACTGGCCCCAAAGACTCCGTTGACCTGGTGCCCTTTGGGCTGGGGTCAACGATACAAAGGGCCATGGCCAAGTCCAGGTTCACTTTCGAGATCGTGAGCATCTTGTCCAAAGCTCGTCGCAGACTCGCAGAGTTCTTCAGCTCTCCGGCCCGGCCCTCCTTGAGCTCAGAACGCGCAGAGATTTTACCTTAATTTTCGGGCTTTGAATGTCTCGACGTGCCCTCCAACTTCTTCGGGTACATCGCTCAGCGCTACCGCTCTAAGACTCTCAGCCCCTCGATCGGAACACTTTAGACTCTGAAGCCGCCCGTCAGATGGCGGAATACCTAAGCTTTTACACTTGAACAGACCGAAACCAATTCAACCAGGCTAGCCTGCACCTCCCTTCCCAAGCTATGGTAATCTGAACCCACCTGCACCCGCCTCTCCACTCTCTCAAGCTTACATCCTCGTGTGAGAAGGGGGGCAGGGGGGGTTGGCTCGTTCTCTGAGAACTTCGAGCCATAATGCGAATTCAGGGCTCAAGTCCTCACACCACGCGTCGGCCGGCCCTGGCAGTCCGCCACCTTCCTGAGGCAGCGTCCAAGAAACATTGATTTGCCCCAGAAAACGGTTCCGAGTTGTGGGGTCTGGGCTGTATTTCGAAGGCTTGACAAGGTTTCAGCATAAGAAGGGCTGCCAGCGGCTGGATCGCGAGCGCTTCAGGCGATGGGACTTAGACTCAGCCCTGGTCCTCCACCGACAAGACAATGTTGCAGAGACCGCACACCGGACACCCCCCACTCACCTCAGCCCTTTCCCACGAAGAAGGACTCGGACCCCCTGCAGGGCCTCGCCATGGTTGCGCGCCGGCTCAGCACAACAAGTCTCAGCGGTTGTTCGTCACCTCCCAGAAAGGGGCTTCAAGCTTTGTCCAGAGGCTTTGACTGCGCCAGGCAATTAACTAACATTCAGGGTTCTAAGCTTGCGAAGCCATGCGACCCCTGAAGTCTTCACAAGGGCCCAAGGTCCGCAGGCGGTGGGGCTCCTTGAGGTTGAACACCGTAGGGCCAGCTGATTGCGTCCAAGACTACTCTAGATTGGGCACTCTTGGAATCTGTTGGGCCTTGCGGCCTTGCATGTGAAAGGCAGGGCTTGAGGGCGTTCAAGATTTGTGCTTGCTTGGTTGCACCTGGGTGTCGCACCTCGAGCTTGGGAAAAATTCGAAGAGCATTGAACAAAAACGGAAGCCAGGCCCTCGCTACACCATCTGCACTCAGTCAGGTGGAACCGGACACTGCACATCCCTGCACCTCTCGGTGCCCCTTTCCTTTACCTTCACTGCGCAAGATCGACTCCGAACCCCCTGACCCCAGAAGAGGCACCATGATGATGGACATGATCGCGGCGAAGATCCCGCTGCACGCCATGGCCAGCATCTTCAGCATCCTCGGGGAAGTACTTGCATGTCGGCCGGCTTTTTGAGAGGATTCTGAAAAGCTTGCCCTATGCAGGGTACCTCCTTGAGAATGGGGAAGTCGACTTAAGGGACGTAAGCCCGTAGAATCTATTGGATGATTGGGATGTGCAATTAGAGAAGCTGGAGCGCCGGCTAGAATTCGCCTTGGGACAACTGAGAACCTCCCCACCGGCGTCACACCCTAAGCCCAGCTGTAAACTACAATTGCCCGGTCAAGCTCAGATCTGAGATTTCCACACGCTGCAACATCTAGCCACCTAGCCTCCGATCCTCGAACCGTGTACGTTCTACCCTTTGCCGGACCCCTAAACCTCAACCCGAAACCCCACACACCCAAACTTGGGCCTATTCCACAAAGAGGCAACACTAGCTCTCAAATCAGGGTTCAGGGGACTAAGGGGTTTATGGTTAGATGCTTCAACAACACCCCCTCCCTAGCCTGAACCAAGCCAAGCGTCAGCAGCAGCTGCGCTCCTGCCAGCAGGCCACCAGCCAAGGCTTTAACCTTTGTCTCCGTACCCCTCACCCAAGCTTCCAGCCGTTTCCAGTCAAAGCTTCTACAAAGAAACTTCTTGCCGAAAGCCCTCGTTGTGGAACGCAAATTGCCGGAAAGAGCAATCTGACAGCACTACAAGATATGCGGGACAAAACAAACGCCTCAGTGACTGCTTCAAAATGCCCTCTGCAGCTGAGGGGGCATTCTTCACAATGGCCAGGTTTGCGATACCTGCACACTTCGCAAGTAACGGCCGATTAAAAGCCCTCGAAACGCTAATTCTTCTCAGATTCTTGAGCCTCAAAGGCAAAAAACTTACCCAGAAGCCCTAATCTCAGTGAAAGAAGGCTCGGGCATTTGAGATGCTTGAATGGCTCTTGCACCACAGGCGTGCGCATTTCAACAGGCCCATGATGGTTGAAATGCAGATGCAGTACACTGCATTGCAACCACAACGAGCAAAACAACAACTGCTGTTTGCACTCAAGAGATTCGAGCCAAACAAGAACCCTTGGCCAGCCGATTCGATTTAGGTGAGGGCGGAGCGGTTGAGAATCAAGGGTTTTTAAGGCGACGCGTGCATACTTTCACACTCGCACACAGCCGGGAAGGATGTCGAATAGCTGTACCGCGAGTGAGACACTCTGTGCCAAGTCCCGCCAATTAAAGGTAGCGTGCTCGTGGAGTTCCGTTCTGAGCTTCAAAACTATTCAGCCCCAAACACCAGACATCAGTGCGGCTAGGGTGCGACTGCGATGGGCCACCAGGTGCGGGTCGTCCGGGTCCAGGAATCTCAAGGGATGGTTTGAGGGCCACAAACTTCAATGTGCAATGTTACGGCCTGAAACGGCCCAGTCCGAGGACTTTATCCCGAGAAACACCTTCGATGTGCCCTCCTCCTCTTGAACCCCGGCCAATCACACATGACAAATAGCGCAAAGAATCTAATGAGTTTTCAATTGAGAGCTGTGTCCTGTCACAGCTTCAACCTATAATGACGCTTCTCCAGAATTTGGATGACCCACGTTAACGAATGCGGGTTATGTTTTGTTGTTTAAATATCCTTTGGGTTGCCTGTACAAGCGCCAAAACCAGTCGATACAGGTAGAACCCTAAACCCAATGAACAATCTCCGCATATTCAGATATGACATATGTCCCGAGGGAAAAACCTCAGAAGCCCATAGACTAGGATGAGCTGAAGGATGAGCTACAGGAAAAACAAAACACATGATCCTCGTACTGATCGTCGTATCTACTTCACATTAAAGTGTCATTGCTTGGTTTCTCTTCAAGGCCCCCCTGATATGCGCAAATCCCTGAGTGTTTAGAAGCCAGGGGGCGGATCTTGGTTGGGCTCCTCTCGGCCGGGCCCAGCGGGCCGCTCACGGACTTCGTCTGCAGGGAGAAGAATTGCCTTCGGAGTCGGGCGGGGGGCGGGGCGGCCACCCGAATGGGTATAGAGGGGCCGCTGCATCACGATTTTGGAGACTTGGAGAATTGTTGATTCCGGTGATGGTTGCATTCTGCTTCGCCCCCAAGTCGCACCAGCAACCGTTAGCAATGCCTCTTTTCGCTGTGTTTGGCATCTAAGGCTACGGCTGCGTAAAAAAAAAAAAAAACCAAAGCCTGGAAGAGTTGAAACCCTGAAAGGCCCAAAAGACGTCTTTTCGTGCCTCCAAGTCGATGACTCCACGCACCTGTTGGCAAGCAAAAAGGGTGCTTTGTTAGGTTTAAGATTTTTGCCTTTAGGTTCTTTGGGTTCTTTGGGCTGGGGCTTTTGGGGTTCAGGACTTTTGGGTGAGGAGCATTTTAAAGGCGCGGTTTGTGAGGCTTACTGGGCTTTTGCTCCCACCAGACAAGAAGCCCCGACGATGGGAAAATGAGGCATACACCGTCCACACGATCCCTGGCCCTTGCAATTGGGGAGCCCCGAGGCCGTTGACCCCCGAAGCTGGAAGCCCCACAATCTCCATAAACCGAAGAACCGCAGAGCCCGTGATCGTCGCAAAGTCACAAAGCAACTTCCCGATCGAAGGGGGAATCTCCTGCCTCCCCGGGAAACGCCGGGTGGAACATATGCAGTGACCCCTTCGGAAAATCCACGACGCGGTTCTGCTTCCGAGCCTTGCAGACAAACACACGCGCAGCATTAGCACCAAAGGCCGAAGGCCTAAACCAGTTGTGATGCCCCGCTTACACAAGGCAAGCAAGGCAACTGCTCGAAGGTCCGCACTGACAGGGTTGGCAAGGTACACTTCCAGCAAAGCAGGCAAAGGGGGGGCCAGGCACATCGCTATGCTCACCCGTCCAGGTCAGAGGTTGAGTTTTAACTGCTATGCACGGAGACCCAATACCTCTAAGCATGACTCGAACAAGCGCCTTTACTGCAACACCTGAAGCAGAGACAAGACATGACGAATTTCAGGAACCGGTTTTTACTGCGAAGCCATGCGTACGGGGCTCGATGAGGAAGTCCTTCGAGAAATCAAGCGTCACCTCCGCAAGCCTTTGTGGGAAGATTCGCAGGGCCGAACAGGCAAGCCACTATGCAACTCGCTTGAAATTGAGAAAACACCTTTTCAATTTTCAGGCCGCTGATTGTCACGACCACACCCCCCCCCCACCCACCCTGAAATTCTTAATGAGCATGCAGGTAAAGTCGCCATTACATCCATGATTTTTGCTCTTCGGCAGCGTGACAATGATGAGTTGCGCAACATATTCACCCATAGTCGCGATGGTCAATGCATCCAGGCAGCACTTCGTCCGATGCAAGCATGTTGTCGTT